TTAAGCTTTAGTAAGTAGTGTATTTTCCTGCCCTAAACGCTTTGCGTAATCGTGGCGTTAGGCATTGTATGTACTAGCTCCTATCTATAAAGCCAACAAACTTTGTAAAATCTCTTTATGTATGTACCTTTGCCTAAATAAAAATTATTATTATTATTATTATTATTATTATTATTATTATTATTATTATTATTATTATTATTATTAATGCCTCTTCTGAATCCACAGAAACTGTACGCACATAAAGTTCCTTAATTAAAACTCCTAACGTGACACAGTCATTAGGTAATAAGGGTACTAATAATCAGTGTACTCTTAAGACCCCAAGTGCTCCCAAGAGCCTAATAATTACTCCCCAGAATAAACCAAACACTTCCACCCCAAGTTGGAAGAAACAAAACAACAAACACATGCAAGCAACAGAGCTTTCACAACCTGTAGTTGCAGTTACATCTAAACCGGTGACCCTTAAACGAGCTGTAGGTCGAGGGTTATGTTTGTTTTGCCATCAAAAACATTCTCTGTACAAATGTACAAATTACCCTAATAGAGACACACGAGTCAGACGACTCAAACAGTTACACAGATGTACTAGGTGTCTCAAAACACATAATATTAACAACTGTGAAACCCCACTGAACCCCTGCAATAGGTGTAGGTGTAGAAGGGGCAAACATCATGCTGCACTGTGGAAATTTGTCAAAACAAATTATTCAAATCCTAGAACAGGAAGTTGAGAATCTACACAAGTACAGTGCTGCAAGGTGCGAGAAGTTTACAGCGTAATATCACCAGCGTCTCAAGTGGATGCCCACTGCCCAACTTCAAGTAAAGAATAAAGGGGTCAAGATCATCAATCGTGGCCTATTTGATCAAGGGTCCCGGAAAACCATCATTACTCAGAAAGCGGCAGAGGCACTTAACTTGAAACCAATCACACAGGTAAAATAAAACCTGTCCGGGTTAATGATTAATAAAGGACCCCAAGAATATTCAGTAGTACAACTGCTCATACGTCTAGGTGGTTAAGTCAGGGCAATCCAAGCCATAGTTGTAGATCAAATACCATTTGACCAAAATATTAATTAAGGGTCTGGGGTATACAGCCAAATTCCTGCAGGAAAATTAAATTAAATTGGCTGACATCCAGTTAATGTCTGACCGCCTCAACAATGTGAATCTACTAGTAGGAGCAGATTACAACTAACAGTTTATTACTGGTCATGTTAAACAACGGGACATGAATTTGCTCCAATCTGCAGGTGGCTACTTACTCTCAGGTAAACTTTTAAACCTGAACAAGCCTATACCTACTAACAACAATGCTAATAGAAATTAATCAGCAGTAAATTAATTCTCCAGCAACAAGCCTAATGGAGAAACTCAGCTGAGTATTAAACCCATATTGAGCCTGGTACAATCAATATTTGCCGAGATGTTTTATGGCTCTCAGTGGAAAATCAGTGGTCCGCAGCCTAAGCAGGTGCATGTCACAGCGACCAAGCCCCTGACCCCACCGTAGCCCCAGAATCATTCTCGACAGTAATAATTGGCCACACTCAGTCTTCCTATGCAAATTAATAAAATTAGGCTAGAGATTCTAGCACTCAGTGAATTTAGTAGTACCATGAACGGGAGTGCGGGCACTGGCGGGGATGCAGATTGGGCAGAGTACCAACAACCAAGGGAGCACGCAACGTCGCACAGCGAGGTCTCGATCCCCTGCGACGCTGGCCTCGCGGAGACGCCCGCCATGGCGCTGCAGCACCTCCTGCCCTGCAACTTCCCCCCACGGCCATGAGGATGCTGCTCAACTTCCTGCAACCTTCGGCTCGACGCGCCCTTCACGCCCCCCCCCCTCGGTGCTGGCAAACTTCTTGCAATCTCTGCTCTCCAGGGTCTTGGCACACCACTCCCTGCATGCGTACCTCGCCGCGACCGCCTTTGTGTTCAAGCTCCACAGCAGAAAGGACCCTACCCGCGCATTCTTGGTCACGCAACCACAAAAAGGGGCTCAGCGCGCGGTGCAGGTGAGCCCCTCACTTCTGCTGCCTGTCACGAGGCACCTCCTCCACCGCCTGTTGGGGCCCTGGGCGGTGCCTGCGGCTCATCCTACGAGAAGTACTGCTATAAGACGATCTACACCTTGGCTAGTTTCAACCTGCTCAAGAGTTATCAAGGTAATCCGCCACCAGTGTCATTATCTTATATAATGCTTTACATTTATTATCTTATATAATGCTGGTATATGCTTTAATATACCTACTTATCTCTCTCATCTCATTTTTCTCTTGTAATGTATCTTTATCATTTATCAATTCTGATTGAAATTACCTACTTAAAATTTTCTGCTAGATTAAGGACCTGCCCGAAACGCTGTGCGTACTAGTGGCTTTACAAGAATGTAAATACTGTACTATCCAATGTATTCTCACAAACCCAATGTACCTTCTTGTATATATATAAATAAAATAAAATAAAATAAAATAAAATAAAATAAAATCTGTATCCGCATTTACCGAGAGGTATCCCAACAGTGATACATACCATGCTACCTCTCCATCCGATGGTAAAAATACCATCGAGACCATAAAGTCTAACAGTGAGATTTTAAAAGATCTTCCCAAATACCTAGAAAACACTAATAATAGTGCTCCTTTAATTAAATTACTATCTACGCATAAAAAACTGTTTCAAGACACTCCACAGGAATGTAATTTAGTGCAACATGATATCCAGCTGCTTCCTGATACGATGCCCATCCGTCAACCTTACTACTGCATCAGTCTACAGAAGAGAGAAACCATGTTCGCAGAAGTAAAGTACCTACTCAGCAATGGATTAGCTACACCTTGGGAGTCTCCTTGGGCTTCATCATGCATACTGGTTCCCAAACCATATGGCGAGGTAAGGCTGTGCACCGATTATAGGTGCTCTAACTGAGCGTGCTAAAGATATCTCAGCCTTTATCACTCCTTTTGGCCTTTTTAGGTATGAACGGTTATCTTTTGGACTTTGTAATGCCCCGGCTACTTTCCAGCGAGCTGTCAACCTCGTCATTCAAGATCTTGACAACACCTATACCTACCTGCACAACATCGTTATAGCAACCAACTCGTGGGAAGAACATTTTGACCGACTACAACGACTATTTTACAAGCTTCTCCAGGCCGGTCTCACCATTAATTTCGGCAAATCCACATTTACCAAAGGTAAAGTACAATACCTTGGTCATGTTATAGGCAGTGGAAGCTTAGCACCTTTAGACATACATCTTCAAGCCATCCAAAAATATCCACAGCCCACTTCTCATAAACAACTTATGAGATTCTTGGGACTAGCGTCTTACTACCGTAGGTTCTGCAAGAACTTCAGCATAGTTGCCACACCTTTAATCATTCTTACCAGCCCTAAAAGGAAATACATTTGAACCAACTCACAATCCATTGCCTTCGAACAATTGAAAACTTTGCGGTGTACTAACCCTATTCTCGCCTCTCCAGATGTGAAACAACCCTTCATCCATAGGAAATGTATATGTTTATCTCTCAGAATGTTTGGTAATATGTTTATTGTTTGTGATGTGTTTATATGTATGTATTAACACGATGTACTGAACGGGGTGAGAATAGCTTGAGCTACCTCATCCCTTTGTGTGTATTTTACCTCAATAAACTTATTTCAATTTCAATTTCAACTTCAACCCTACATCCTTAATGTTAATGCCAGCAGCACCGGCATTGGGGGTGTCCTGATGCAGCAAAGAGAGGGGAAAGTCCTACCAGTCAGCTACTACAGCTACAAGCTGAAGCCTCACCAACAAATCTACAGCACTATAGAGAAGGAGCTACTCGCCATTGTCCTATGCTTGCAACGATATGAACCTTACCTTCAAGAACACCAACCCATCACCATCTATTCTGATCATAATCCTCTTCGTTGTCTACTACAAGCCCAATTCTCCAACCAGCGTCTACTTCGTTGGGCCTTGTACCTACAAAACTACAACGTCCAGATCTTCTACATCAAAGGATCACACAACATAGTTGCGGACGCACTATCACATGTTCATGAAGTGGAACCTTCTGCTTCCACACTTCTTCCAGTATCAACATCTAAGGCATTAGGAAAAGACTTCGGGGAGGAGCTTATTGATAACTATAGAAATAAGGAAATAAGTAGTGTACCACATCAAACTGTTTGGATGTGTGATAATGGTATGATAGACAGAATACTTAGGAGCTACAAGAATTTTGCCCCAAGAGTGGAACACTTATATGCTGTGCTTACTGTGTTAACCTGCAATGTTAAATGGGATTCTTGTATTGTGATTTGTGTATTTGTACTCACTGAATTTGTGCGCCCCTTGAGGGACTTGAAGTGGAGGGGGGTAGAAATAGCCTAAGCTACTCTATTCCTTTGAGATGTATTTTTTTTTGTCTCAGTAAACATACTTGAGCTTGAACTTGAACTACCTCCCTCACCCCACACCCCCACGAGATTCCTCTTACCGACGTAGCCGCCACGAAGGCGCTAAGAAGGAAAACATTCGTAGCTAAGAAGAAAAACCTTCGTAAGTACCTTCGTGAATCTGGCCCAGTTTTTTAACATGCTTAAGTTAAGATAACTCAACTTAAATTTTATTAGTTATATTTAGTCAAGCTAACAAAATATAAAAGGTAAATTTAGTTTTTATGTATATTATTATATACTTTATACATAGTATACTGCCAGAAACGCTATGCGTGCTAGTGGCTTTACAAGAATGTAATAAAAATAAAACTTGTATGTAAAAAAAAATAGTGACGTCATAATGTTGGCTTTATTTGGAATACAGGCTTATTATATTGCTAAATGTTGAGGTTGAAATCGAATTACTTGCATAAATGAAAAATAAAAGCAAGTTAGTTATATTGCATAAATTAGGTTAAGAGTTTTATGATAATACATTATAATATTTGTTTGAGTAATAGATGACGCTCGTATCCCAGTGAGTGTTTACTATGGCGGAGGCGGCGAGAGGGAGCCAGACCTCAGAGTTAGACCCTTCAGTACCAGCAACACAAGTTAAAAAACGTGAGAGACAGACGGGCGTGTCATGGGACGACGTGGCCGCCAGACTGCTGCAGGAGAAGCTGCTGCTGACGGCGCTGGAGCTGCACACGGAGCTGGTGGAGGCGGGGTGTGAACTGCCCAGACTGAGAGATTACTTCTCTAATCCTGCCAACTTTGATCATTACACGACTGTAAGACATGCTGACCTGCATTCCGTCGCCCTGCATACTGGACTCTCACTCGGTAGGTCAACTTTGATCATTACACAACTGTCAGACATGCTGACCTAACTTCTAAACTAACTTCAGGAAAACATTTTTAGCCAGAAATCCTTTGTGTAATATTGGCCTCATAGATTGTGTAACACCTGTTCCTACAATTGTACATTACTCTTATGTTCTTTGTATGTGGATTGAATTGCATTAACCTGCACTGTCGCCCTCCAACCACTTGGGGTGGACGGTAGAGCGATGGTCTCGCTTCATACAGGTCGGCGTTCAATCTCCGACCGTCCAAGTGGTTGGGCACCATTCTGTTTCCCCTGTCCCATCCCTAATCCTTATCCTGACTCCTTCCAAGTTCTATATAGTCGTAGTGGCTTGGTGCTATCGCCTGATCATTCCCTTCAGTTCCCTTCATATTGGGCTGTCACTTAGTAGGTTAGCTTTGATCACTATTCAACTTTAAAATGTGCTAACTTTCACTTGCAGGCTTGCACATTCAAAAAGGACCCCAAGAGTAGTCATACTGTACTAGTGTTTTCATTGTTAGTCTTTATACAAACCTAACTTTGGAAAAATACAAATTAGTTTTTTATACTGTGTGTGAAGTGTGTAGCAGTGATGTCATATTCTGATTGCCACTACCTGTCTCTGGAGATCTTTTTAATTTTTAAATATTTGCAAGAAGCATGCACAGAATAGTGGAAATTTTTTAATGTTCCATATTAGATGCCTTTCATATTATAATATGAAAGTAGATTGCAGTAGATGTGGTGAGTTCCTAGAATTTTTTGTATTTTCTTGTATTTAATGGTCACTTTTTTGTCCTTTTGATGATATACTGTACAGTACTGTACAATTTCATACACCAGTCACTAAATGCTGTTAACACAGCACCTAGCAATGTCTCTGTAACACTCATTAAGTAAGATTTTACTCCTATACTGTACTACCATAGGTATCTTGCCTCTCAAGCTGTTGACGTTCACTCTTAAATACAATATTGTTAAATGTGGTAAGATCTTGTTGACCAGACTACACACTAGAAGTTGAAGGAACGACGACGTTTCGGTCCGTCCTGGACCATTCTCAAGTCGATTGATCATCACTCACATGATTGATCACCAATCAATCGATTGGTAAGATCTTAATTAATGTTGCTTTACTAATGAGAGATGCTTTACATTTCAGCACGCTCTTCAAGCCAAACTACTCTAGATTCTCTGGATTGGGGTCGTCTCAGCGAAGATGGAGAAAGAGCTGTGGATGAGCGCGTGGCTGTCCTTGAGTTTGAATTACGCAAGGCGCGTGAGACTATACAGGGACTGCGAACAAATCTCACACAAGCAACAGGTTCATATGAGAATGTCCTGCAAAGTTACTTTTTTTTGTGATCATGCCTTGAGAATTTGTGTACTTCTACCTTGATGTTGCTTAACTTGTTTGTAAGTTATTGCAATGCTCATTTATCTGTTATTTAGTTCTTGGTTATGCTTACTTTTAGGACCCTGCATATGTGTAGAAAGCCTATATTAGACACCCACCTGTTTCCCTGTTCTGTTGGCTACAATTGCAATTTCTTGTAACCAATGTGCAGCATTTCATTAATAAATAGATAATGTGTTAAGAGCAGTTAGAAGACTGTTCATTACAATTTGAACTAGACTATTGACCAGGTCGCTAACTAGTATTTATCAGAATGAAGCTTGATAGTTTCTTTGAGACTGAATATTGCTAGGAGGGAGTTCTTAGGGGTTTAAATGAATTTATATTTTTTAAAGATATAAGGCTAGAAAGAGAAATTTCCTATTGTCCCCATTCGTTGTTAATATCCTGACAGGGGGTGTTTGTAAGGGTCTGACTGCATCGTGGAATGAGTGTCAGTCTGGCTAATGTGGCTGTGTGTTTGTGAGTGGAGAACATTGCGTTAGGGAGCAATGAGTGAATTGCTTGGAATTTTGTTTTGACTGTAGTTTATGATTAAATGTGTAAATGAATTACATTTTTAAATGTAGTACTGTACATATATACTGTACTTTGAAAATTTCTCTACTTGGTCTTCAGTGTGTGTGTGTTGTGTGCATCATTTCCAATGCAGATGTGAAAACCATGTGCCAAGCCTTTACATCATATTATATTTTATATTTTGCCTATTAAATATCATTTCCACATTACAACGTTATAGTTTGAGTGATGTTTGAGTTGTTCAGCCATAAAAATAATGTTTAATTTCAGAATCAAAACCATCATCTTTTGAAAAGGAGGAAGCAAATAAACCGGCTATTGTAGCATCTTTATCATCCATCCGTCCACATGAGAAGAGAACGTTAAACTTCTTAATTAATGAGTTTCTTGTGACAAATTCTTACAAACTAACTGCAATCACCTTTGCTGATGAGAATGATGATCAGGTAAATATATTACAGTACTGTATTGGAACTTAAAGGCTATGCACAATAGCAAATTATGTCTTTATTAAACTAAAAAATTTGTTATTAAACAAATTGTCTTGTTAAGCAAATTTTCTTTTATTAAACTGCATATGCACTGCAATATCATTTGTCACATTAGAGAAAACTATGAAATTAACCATATAATCAATAATGCAAATACTGCACATGTTTTGAACATTACCCTTAATGGGTTCCCAGATAGTGGTCGCTAGTGCACAGTGCGAGTGCCAAGTCCTACTAAGCTCACATGAATAAGCTCAGAGGAGCTTCCATAGCATTGCTCAGAGGGGGCATTATATTTCACCAGATACTTTGTAATTATTGTCTATGCCCAATAAAAGTAACACTGGGTGCACCCTTACAAAATAAGGGTTAGACCGTATAACCAATTAGGGTTTGATGCATAACAAGTCACTGTTTTATGAGGTTCATTGATAGTGAACATTTATGCTGGGGAAATGTGATTTTTAACTAGTATGAGGTGGTGTACAAAATGGTAGATTTTTCATCTTATGTTTTTTTATGTCCTTTGTAAATTTCTTGTTACAAGGTCGTGGCCTCATATTGCCGTCCTTAACCCGGTCAACTGCGCCAGCCAACAAATATCGTTTTGAGAGTTGTCCATTTTTTTTTTAACACTTTCGCGCTCTCGGCGCTCAAAAAAAAACAATACCCCAGATGCTTTCGGCACTTCGCGCGCCTACGCGGTAAGACCGAAAAAGTGTACACTCTTTTGACTGTCCTGACAATAATTGAAGGCGCACGTATTTAAATTTGGTATCACTGTGTTCGCAATGAAATTGTCTATAAGAGCATACCTATAAAATGCCGCCCAAACATAAGGAGTATCAACACCAAATAAAAAACTATGCAGATCACTCGCCGAGAGCGCCAAACAGCAACAAAATGTTTCCACTCTCTTAATGGTTGCGAAGCCTACAGTTGTCCTACATCGCTAATTTTGGTATCATTGGAATCGCAATAAAATTCTCTACACGGACATATGCATATGAATGTTTAATATAGGTAATTGCCCACCCGCAAGAGTGTGTGAAGTGGAGAGTAGTTAGCGCACTGGCGAAAACACAGGGGGGAAATCATGCTTGGAAAGTTTATATGCTTCCTGACCCTACTTTTCTATGTACGTATTTCTTTTTTATACCAATGTGTTCGCAATAAAATTTTCTATAAGATGAACTGTATAACATTTGTACAAAGCATGTGTAAGAGAAGCGCCAAATATAGAACCACGTCGCTCAGTATGCGTTCGCGGCAGAAACGAACGCATTGTTTTCGTTCGTTTGATGTTTGTCATGTTTATACTTGTTGAAACATTTTATAATTTGTATGACAGTGATCGCAGTAAAATTCCCTACACAGACATATACATAACACATACAAATATTTCCCACGTGTTGGATATATCATCGGCTAAAGGGAACCCACTGCCACACGCTCGCCACACCCCCAAACATACTTTGTGTATTTTTTTTTTTACTCATAGAAGTTTATGTGATATAATATTCATTCTGGTACCAAAAAATTTGCAAATAAATTCTCTACAAAACAAAAGTATCCCCATCCATTTCGGTTAAAAAATGGAATTTATAGAAATATTTTTTCGATGGACAAGAAAAGTAGGCTGTTATGCGGAATCGTAAGAAAAAACGGCGACGAGTTATCTCTAATCTAAAGCGCGAAAGTGTTAATTAGGCTATATTTTAATGTTTAATGTTTTCATTACTAATTAGGTTTTGAAATGAAAATAGTTTAGTTTGGAAACATTTTGACATTAACTTTACCTGGACATTTATAAAAACAACAAAAATATATCTTTAACAATTGCACTTTGAAGTTTTTGCCAAAAAAGGTGTGCAGTGCAGGGGTTAAAATACAGTACTTTAGCCTTTTTGGTAATAAGAAATATTTTGTCATTTTATAATGCAGCTTTATTCAGTTCATTATTGTACTTGAAATATTCTTCAGTTTAAAATTTATTGCACAAGTAAATGTACACTATTTAGTGATGATGACTGCAGATGAATCTCTATTATCTGCTACTGTCTAAACCTTGATACAGAAATATATTTACCTCTATTTTTAGTTGCATATAGAATTTATTGAATTCAAATAGAGAAGTAGTGTCTACCATTATTCAGTTATTGTACCCCATAGTATTACCTACAAAATGATTAAAAGACAAGAGAGTATTATTCACAATATAATCAACTTACTGTAAGTTGTGCATGCATTCTTTACAATGTGAGAAAAGCTAGGGTTGTATGCCAGACTGCAAAAAGATACAGAGTTTGATAAAACAAGACAAAATTACAAACTCTGGAATTGGCATAATAGAGATTAACCCCTAAGCTGCTCTGGGCTATTTGGCATTCAACACCCATAGGCACATAAAAATTAAAAACAAAATTGTCTTGTAAAAGTGTTCGTTTGTGTTCCTTGATCACAGGAAAAATAATAAAAAAATTATAGGTGGCATACTTTGGCCGCAATAGGGCGGGGAAGTCTGACAAAAAAGAGGCGTTGACAGAGCAATCGTCGGTGGTGGTCTGCTCCGCCCGAGCTGTCAGGCGGGAGTTGCCACAAAGACATTACCTAATTTTTCAATGTCTGATTGATTTTTTGGGGGGAGCCCTGTCGGCTCCCCGGACCTATCCAGGCTGAATGGATATGTATAACTTTCTGGCATCAAAGTGCTAGGAGTTCTTGCCTACCGGGGACCACGAGCCAGAACCTGGCCCCCTCAGAGAGGCACGAGGAGCAATAGCCTATAGAAACCCCTTTGTGGTTGGGAGCATTCTATGTCTGCCATCAACCGGGATAGGCACCCAGAAAGGTAGGCTCCCCAAAACAAACCCCTATTCTGGTGAAAATATTGCTACCGAAAGCCGAACGAGTGGACAGAACTCCCCCAAACAAAATTATCAAACTAGTATGACGTCATCACGTCGCCTCGCCACCGTCTGCGCAACCCCCCTCCCCTCCCCGGGAGGGGAAAGGGGGAGCCCCAGACCCTCCGTGCCTGCGATCCAACTGGCAGTTCTTGGCTGATGGAATTACTGGCTGGTCGAGTGCCTCTGGCTCCGGTTTTTGTTTCAGTTCTGTGCCTTGTGGTGTGGACTATCTCTACTGGTGGGGTGTGAGCCAGGAGTGAGATTCCACGGTACTCGGGCTGCATGTGCCTAGGGCTCTCTTCCCTAGGTTTCCTGTAAGTACTGCCCTTGGGGCTTGGGGCCACCTTCCACAAGTCACCTTGGGTTCTACCTCCGCTGTGTCCTTTACTGCTCGGTACTGGGCCGCCCTTGGAGTCGGCTGGGGATTTGTTGCCTTGGTTTGTCTCTGGGTAGGTGGTAGTTTTCGTCACTGGTAGGGGTGCGGGGTACCTCACAGCTAGTTTTCACCAATAACAGCGGCCGGCTCTGTTCCGCCTGGGTACGTTGTCCTCTTGCGGGGTTTTTCTTTTCCTTTTGTTTTTGCCTGGTGGGGGGGGGGGGTTCTGCCTTTATGGTCCCCTTTACTGTTCTAGGTGTTTTTATTTTGATATTTTCTGTTGGTAGTACTTTCCTATATCTAAACTTAGATGTAGGTATGTTTCTTGACTCGATTGTGTTGTGGCACGGTCGTGTCTCTGCTCTGCAGGTAAGATTGTCCTGTCTGGCGCCTCTGTTGACCAGGTGCTGGTTCTCGACTTTTGGCAGGGGGGCTTGCCTAGTTGTGCTTGTGGGGGTTGAGCTCTCGCTCTTTGGCCCCGCCTCTCTCCTATTGGTTGATGGTTGTGCAGTTTCCAGAGCCTATTGGGCTGTGTCTTATCTACGTTTGTTCCTGTGAGTGGAGTCTGCCTCCACCACGTCACTTCCTAGTGCTTTCCGCTTCCTATCTCCTCTGACATTGATCAGGTTCTTTTTCATGTCTGTGGCTTATTTGGGTACTCGGCTTCCTCCTGTGTCCCCTTGTGCATGTGCCACCCTTGGTCACTGCTCCATCCTTGTTTACTCTGTCACTTTCCCGCTTGGCGGGGTTGTGTCGATGGCTCCTAACAGGAATGTTAGGTGTTGAGTTGTGTTTGGTCATCTTACGTGTGTCGTCAGTGACTTTCCTTTGTCCGTGTATCTTGTTCTTTGTTGTCCTGTGGGGCTCTGCCCCACATTTCGGTGCTTTTGGTTTTGTTTGTCGGCACCTGGGTCTTTTTCCCTATCAGGACACTCATTCCTTGCCTATCTCCTGTGCCTGGCTGTACCCTGATATCCATGGTACATGATATTCACTTTCCCTCGGGTATGTGCGCCCTCCTCGACACGTTTTGTGGTTGGTCGTGTGCATTGCATTCCCGGCCGCTCCTTCGTCCGTACTTGTGGTTTTCTTTGCCTATTTTCGTTTTTCCTCCTCCTATGCTATACTTGCCTGTGTATCTAGGTCGGTGCTTGTTGCCTATCCTGATGTTGGGTGCTCGGGTGGGCTTCTGTCCATGTTCAGTTCCCTGCTTATGGACTACACCGGTGTTCCGTTTTGGTACTGAGTTCCTACACTTTTTCTTTGTACCTTCCTGCAGACTTCGGTGTTGCACTGTCTGTGGGGAGTTGTTGACTTTTGGTCCACTGCTACTGTCTTCCTGGTTCCTTTTCTTGGAACAGGTAGCTGGGGTTCCGGTCCTGGCTCCGGTTTTTCTTTGTTCCTTTCCTGGAATGTGTGTGTTTGCTTTCCTGTGGTTCACGTCCTGCGTAGTTCTCCTCATGGATGCCTGTATACCTACGCCTCCTGTTCAGGGGTTCGGGTCTGCAAGTTTTTTGTTTCCTCCGTGGGGTTGGTTTTTTAGGTTAGGGCGCGTGGCATCCGCCTCCTGGATCCTTCCCTATTTTCCTTATCTGTGGTGAGGTAGCTCCGAGGAGCTGACGGGGCTTCCCCCAGAAAACCAGTGTTGAATGTAATGAACATCCAGCCTAAGAACTGCCAGTTGGATCACTGGCTTGGAGGGTCTGGGGCTCCTCCTTCCCCTTCCCGGGAAGGGGGGGGGGTTGCACAAACAGTGGCACGGCGACATAATGACGTCATGCTAGTTTGATAATTTTGTTGGGGAGTTCTGTCCACTCGTTTGGCTTTCGGTAGCAATTTTTCACCAGAAAAGGGGTTTGTTTTGGAGCGCCTCCCTTTCAGGATGCTAATCCTGGTCGATGGCAGACATAGAATGCTTCCAACCACAAGGGGGTTTCTATAGGCCATTGCTCCTCATGCCTCTCTGAGGGGGCCCAGGTTCTGGCACGTGGTCCCCGGTAGGCAAGAACTCCTAGCACTTTGATGCCAGAAAGTTATACATACCCATTCAGCCTGGATAGCTCCGGGGAGCCTCCAGGACTCGCCCAGAAAATGGAGTTTTATTACATTCAACACTGGTTTTTTACATTTTTAGGCGATGCTGTGGTCACAAGCTGAACAGCAGTGCTGTGAGCTCATGCTGCATGCGCCAGCCTTGGTGGCTCACTCAGTACTGAGGCTTTCACACCCGGGAATGTTGCCCATGATTTAAAAAAAAAAAATGGTGTCTGTTTACAAGAGCCCTGAGGAAGGTGATGTGAACCCCGTGTAGCTGTGGGTCGTTTAAATCTTGCGCAGTACTCCAAAACGTCATGTGAAGGGGTGCGCACTTTCTCGTCAATTACTCAACACGTCATATGAAGTGTTGCGCAGTTTAAGGGTTAATGTGTGTGAATTCATATATCATGTCAAAACTAAGCCATAGTTTATATTTGTGATGTATTTCAACAAGTAGTCTTATCATCAGGATTTTGAGCATTGGGATGATGTGGGACTGAATACTGGTCGGCCGCCAAACTTGGTGCAACTGCTTAGAGAAGGCGGCCACTCTACAACTCGGCTCATCTCGTGTTCTTCCCAGACAGAGGGTAGCTCACAAACACAGATCACTCAGCTGGAGGAGCAGATAAAAAGGTTACAAGAAGAGCTAAATGAAGCAAAGAGTAATTTTGATGCTCAAGAGAGGTAAAAGATATAATTTCATATTTCAGCTTGTTGGAAAATATTTTACAGCCACTATAGTGTATTACCTGTCATTATGTTTATGCAACATATTTCTCCATGCTTCTTCTTATCCTTTCCTCTTATGCTTATTCATATGGTTCCTCATCCACATGATCTCTCACCCTCTCACCCTATAAAAATCTTATTCTGAGCCTTTTCTTATTTTAACCACTGTGCTGCGCCGAGTTTATTGTGAAATTCCCCCAGTGCGCATGAAATAAAGTGTTCCCCCCAAAAAAAAATTTCTTCGTAAAATGATAAAGTCCCTTCCCTGAACATGTCTATGTAAAAATAAATACCAAATTCCACTTACTTTGGCTGTGAGGACGTGGACAAGGTGCGCTGTGACGTCATCAGGGTCTGGTCGCCCGGCCCAGACACGGTCGCGCGGGCCATTCAAGCACCGGGTGTTGCCACAAATATATTTTCAATTATTTGTTCTATGTATTTCCAATGCGTTTTTTTTTTTTTTTTTTTTTTTTTTTTTTTTTTTTTTTTTTTTTTTTTTTTTTTTTTATCGTATATGATGCATATTTGTGTCCTTTACAATATGTATACAGTAGAACGTGCATAATGTTCCATGGAACTGTGATACATGTGTCGGTAAAGTGTCCACGATAAATGTTTATTGTCGCAATATTACTTGTTAAAAATTCACTAAAATTACAATATTTACAGTTTCACACACTATTTACACAGTAACACTGTATTACACACTCACTTGCCACCAGACTAGTACCCGAGCTGAGAGGTATGAGCTACGAGGAGAGACTACGGGAATTAAACCTCACTTCGCTGGAAGACAGAAGAGTTAGGGGGGACATGATCACCACATTCAAGATTCTGAAGGGAATTGATAGGGTAGATAAAGACAGTCTATTTAACACAAGGGGAACACGTACAAGGGGACACAGGTGGAAACTGAGTGCCCAAATGAGCCACAGAGATATTAGAAAGAACTTTTTTAGTGTCAGAGTGGTGGACAAATGGAATGCATTAGGAAGTGATGTGGTGGAGGCTGACTCCATACACAGTTTCAAGTGCAGATATGATAGAGCCCGATAGGCTCAGGAATCTGTACACCTGTTGATTGACAGTTGAGAGGCGGGACCAAAGAGCCAGAGCTCAAACCCCGCAAACACAACTAGGTGAGTACAACTAGGTGAGTACTCAGTACTTCGGAAGTGAGTAATAATCAACGAAATAGTCCATGGTGCACAGCGCGACTTCGCTCATGTTGCACTAAGTACAGATAAATTTTCGCTTCCTGTTTCTTCATTCTGTGTGCTTGCAAATAATGCACTCATACACCCTTGGCTTTAGTACTTGTAGATTGTATGTAGCCAAGCTTGTAAAGCATAAGGTAGTATTGAAAAGATTATAGGAAAAGATCAATTTGTAAGGTAGTCTTGAAAAGATCGCTTTGTATGGTCCCACACAGGAAGAGATTCAGCTTGCCTCGAAAGAGTGTCCATCAGTCAGGAAGAGATTCAGGTATTCTTGAAAATATCTATGGAAAACACCATCATGGAAGCCACTAACACTGTTCATCTTTGATACTTGTATCAGATGCATCATCACTGAATGCAGAGAGCAAATTCATCTATGTATCATCTAAATAAATTGGAGATAGCATAGGATTGCAAGGGTGACACTCAGAGCTACAACTGGATACGCTTGCTGTATCGTCCTCATAGGTGCTGTATCACTTACATCCAACCTTTGTGTTAGGTCCTTATTGCGCCTAGCTTCACCAATACTGTATTATGATCCTTATGTTCTTCAAATAATAAGATTTGAATTTCACCGACAGAGCGTTATCTTTCAACACCACGTCAGACGGGTGTTTGAGAGCCAGAGGCTCGTGCGCCACCCATGGTTGCTTATTCAGTATTAACCCAGCCAGCAGCCCTAGGGCATTCTCAGAATTTTTTCCAAGATGGCTGCCTCTCACTGGCGGTCCTAAGAGACCATTTCGTACAGATCAACCTCGCATACATTTAGAAGGAGTACGGAAAAATAAAATAGTTTTCTCGGTTGGCGCAGTTTCTCGCTGACCAAGAATACTCGGCTGGCGCAGTTAAGTGGTTAATCTACTCATCCTATCAACTTGAATACAGTACAGTACTGTATATCCATATCAGCCTGGATAGCTCCAGGGAGCCTCCGGGGCTTGCCCAGAAAATGGCGTTTCACTACATTCAACACTGGTTTTTTGAATACCTAATGCTTCTAGGCCAGCCCTCACCAGGTGATGATGCAAGCCACCCTAGGTTCAGGGTAAGCAAGTCCTTTCCAAATTAATCTATAGTGTAACTGGGAAACGAGGTTGGGAATGAAATGCTACCAAGGTGCAAGTCAAAGTGGCATTTCACTACACTCAATACTGTTTTCTGGGTTAGCTTCCCACAGTATTTTTGGGGACTATGTGCAAACAAAAACAAAGGCCACTTATCCATGGGAAGTAGAGCTCAGAAGATGACCCAGGTGGCCCAACAGATTAACAATAAAGGCTAACGCTAATCGTAACGTTTGTGTATGTAGAATAGATAACATCTGGCCAGTTTCACTTGAGAGATCAAGTGGCTACTGAAATAAACTGTATTGTACTTTGTAATCTGGCTGACAATCATAGAAGATGGGAACTAGGTCAATAAACATGAAAATCAAAATCCATGTCACAGCTAATACATAATATAATATGCTAATAGGCATAATGAAGCCTAGCCAGGAAGCTCCAAGTATGACTCCTGGTGAAGCAGTGGTAACATAATTGCACTGCACTTTGTGAGCGACTTGGCCTAGCTTCATATCCTGGCTGGGGAGGATTGACTAGGTGCCAATCCTTAATTGTACACCTCTGTTCACCCAGTTATTGGGTACCTGGTTGTTAAACGATTGGCAGATCGTATTCCATGGAAACTAGTGGGAAAGGTTTACCTTAAGCTATGGGATGGAAGGTTTTCAGCCTGCTAATAGGAGTTGGCAGTCATTCGTTCCTGCACCCACCTGTGTATAAAAAAAAAATCTTTCCACAGAGATAATGGTATCAAAACCAAACTCTAAGCTTTAAGTCTATTTTTAAAGTGTCAAAATTGTCTCTGGGAGCCAGGTGTGGTAAGTGTCCTATAGAAGCTAATGACGTAAATTGGTATAAACTGTTAAGTTGCAACCCACAAAGGTTTATTTTGTTGCACAGTTGTATTTTTATCTTGCACAGAAGTGATCAATGTTAAATCTCCTTGCACAGAGCTGAGCATTTGTAATAATGTAATTAAGGAATTAATATAAGAAGTGCATATACTGTAGTACCTATTGATTTCTAATTGGTTAACACTTTAACTGGCCCTGCATGTGACCCCCAGCACACCCCAAGGTTGGCCAAGCGCTTCCCCATGAGCGTGCATCCACACTGACAGGGTTGATAAAGACAGGCTGTTTAACACAAGGGGCACACGCACTAGGGGACACAGGTGGAAACTGAGTGCCCAAATGAGCCACAGAGATATTAGAAAGAACTTTTTTAGTGTCAGAGTGGTTGACAAATGGAATGCATTAGGAAGCGATGTGGTGGAGGCTGACTGCATACACAGTTTCAAGTGTAGATATGATAGAGCCCAATAAGCTCAGGAACCTGTACACCTGTTGATTGACAGTTGAGAGGCGGGACCAAAGAGCCAGAGCTCAACCCCCGCAAGCACAACTAGGTGAGTACAACTAGGTGAGTACACTAAAATGTTTATACTCTTCTCAGTCCCCCCCCCCCCCCTCCTCCTCCTCAATTTTCGATGTACGTCATTCATTTTGGTACTAAATTGTTCGGAATAGAATTCTCTAAAGTGATATATGCTAAGGTCAAAAGGCCCGGCCCCCCCACCTGCAGCAAACCCAAAAATCGCCCGAGCGTTACCCGTGAGCAAGCACCCACCCGCACACCCCCAACACCCGCACTCAAATGTTTATATATATTTATTTTTCATTTTTCTCACCTCAATTTTCATTTTAAGTCGCTCATTTTGGTATCATTTTGTTTGTAATAGAATGCTCTAAAGGGATATATGCATATAAGGGCAAATGGAAGAACAACATTATCAATACCATAAGAAGGCCTGAGAAGGAAACGAAGCCACCCGTGCAGGCCAGGAGTTGGACTTGGTTGTCAGAGGCTATTTGAGATGCATGCCATATAGGAGCTTTTTGTAGGTCATGGGAGCTCGTGACCTATGTTTCTTTAGGGGCAGAGGGCGTGGAGGACGGCTCTGCGCTGGGTCCTGGCGTGAAGGATGCCGGGGCTGTGAAGGAGTTGACTTTGGGGGGGAGGGGGCATGGGCCCCGTTTGACCCCGCCTGGGTGTTGGTACTCTTGTCTTAGGGCTTGTTGTTGCATGGGGAGAGGTTTTTGTACCCTCCTTACCTATACGAGTATGATTTGGATTCAGTTCCTCCCCTGGTTCGGTTCTGGGATTCCCTGGGTTCTTCGGTTCTTTCCGGAGGTATTCGGCTTCTCGAATCCCACCTAGGGAAGTTTGGGAGACCATCGCTGCTTACCTGCTGCGAGACCCGGATTATGCCTCGGTGATGGATAAGTCTTCTTTTGAGTTTGGTTCAACCTTACCCTCTTGGGTGCGTTAAGAGGTACCGGAGTCTTTCTGGTTAGCAGACTGCCCTTTCATTTTGTTGGGAGCATGGCATAGGTTTTGTTGGACCCTCATGCTTGATTGGCGGAAACCTTTCACTGTGCTACAGGTTTACTTTGGGGGGGGGGGGGAGTTTGAGAACCTTAACACGTGCTTGTTTGCCCCCATGCTTCCTCGGGATGTTGGTATTGTGCAGCTTGACCTACAGGTTCCCTCCCTTTTGGCTGCTTTGGTAGCTAAGGATTCGCACCCCGGTGGGCCTTTGGCCTCGGTCTTGCGTTTATCTTTCCTTCTCAAGCTGTCCTCAGACTGGCTTGGAGGATGTAGAGGCGCTAGGAGCCAGGTCTTTGTCCGGTACGCTTGCACCAGACAAAGTTGCACCAGCTTGTTGAAGTTGTTTGCACCGATTCTCAAGGAGGCGGTGTCTGTTTTTTGCTTCTCGGCTCGTGTGCTAACAATTTGTGCTTGCTCTCTCCTTGGAATCCACTTGGGCTCTGGCTCTTAGGTTCTCATCACCCTTTTGTCCATTGCTGTTTGCAGCGTCTGCTGTCACACAGTTTCTGCATGCAGCTTTGTCTAGTTGTTGTCCCACGTTGAACTTGTTGGTTGGGGGGGGGGCGGTTATGACGGGCCTTCCCGGAAGGGTCGTGCCAGGGTTCAGGGTTCCTCTAGTCGTGGTGGGCCAGCAGTGCCAGTTTCCGTGCCAGTGCTTCTTCGGAGCTGGCAGCGTCTGGTCAATGCAGTGGCCGCTCTGCTCATCGGTCGGCTTCTCGTAAGGGGTTTTGGATCTTTTGCGGGTTGCCCCGTTGACAGGGCGGTGGGGGGGGGGGCTTGCACTGTTTGCTCACGCCTGATCCCACAATTTGTGGGCATTTTGAGTTGTCTCTTTCGGCCTGTGGTGGCATTGGGCGGCTCCTCCTCTGTGGGGTTCGGGGCTAGCGAGGCAGGCCTCTTTCCCTGCGCTCCATCGGGTCATCTCGGAGTGGGTGCACTTGGGCATACGGAACAAGGTTGAAACGAACCTGTTCCTCTGGTAGTTTTCCTGCCTGTTTCCATGTGCAGAGCTGAGGTTCATTCTGGACTTTTTCCACCTGAACTGGATTTTTTTGCTCCTCTTTTCGGATGAAAACTCTGTCCCAGGTCGGGCTTCCATTGGAGTGGGATGCTTGGTGTGTCTGGACCTCCGGGGATGTGTATTGGCATGTCCCGATTCATCCAGGGTTCAGGTACTGGTTAGGGTTTTTTTGGTGGGGCAATGAGCTTTCTGCTTCCATTGCCTTCCATTTGGTCTGAATTGGCACCGCACATATTCACGCATCTCACCTGAGTCGTGGTTATTCCATCTGTGTCTGTTAGGGGTTCAGGTTCTGGCCTATCTCGACGTCTGGCTAGTGTGGGCTCCCAGCAGGTTCACATGTCTGCCCGCCAGGGGTGTGGTTCTTTCCCAGCTTGTTGGGTTTGGGTTCCTGGTGAACTGGAGGGAGTCCCATCTGGTTCCGTCCCATATATGGACATGGTTTGGTCTTGTGTGGGATTCTCAGACTGCTTCCTTGTCTCTCCCTCCAGAGTCATTGCTGCAGCTGCAGTCCCGCCTTTACCTGTTTCTGGAGGGTTCCCGGGTCATTTGGTGGTTACTCAAGCAGTTGTGCGGGAGTCTGAATTTCGCCGTGCTTGTTTACCCGCCGGGTCGGGTGCGGCTTTGGCGGCTGTTCTGGTTCCTTTGGGGATCTCCCTTCTGTTGCTCTCACAATCGTTGGGTTCGACTCCCGGGGGGGCTTTGCGTTGGTTGCTGCATCGCTGGCTTCCTCTTCAGGTTTTTCGGGATTTAGTTCCTTGGCGCTTAACCAAGCCCTCGCTTGTTGTTCATGGATGCCCCGTTTCTCGGCTGGGGCTTTGTGACCAGTGCTCACCAGGCCAGCCAGGGGTGGTTGGTTTCGTCCTTCCGTCGGGCTCACAGCACAGTACGAGAGTTCGTGGCGGTTTGGCTGGCGCTTCAGAGGGTTCGGGTTGCTCAGGGTTCGACGATCAGGCTCCTTTCGGACTGTTCTCTGGTGGTTCATTGCCTGAACTGCAGGGGTTTTCTTCGGTCCATGGCTCTTTGGGGCTGGTCTCTTCAAGTGACTCATTTGCTGGATTCTCAGGGTTTAGCTCTCCATGCGGTTCATGTCTGGGGAGTGTCCAACGTCCTGGCAGGCCTGTCTCCGTTCATTCCCCTGTCCACGGGATGTACAATCGATGCCGTCTCCTTCAGTTGGCTCTGCCGGATGTATAGACTCCCGGACGTGGACCGCTTTGCGTCGGTGTGGTCCTGGCATCTTCCTGTGTATGTGACGCCCTTCCCCAAGTGCAAGGCCATCGCGGTAGATGCCTTTTGACGGGACCAGTTGAGGTGAGGTTACCTGTACCTCTTCCCCCGGTCCAGCTGTTATTTTGAGTCCTGGTTCAGTTGGAGATTTATCAGGGAGAGTAATCCTGTTGGCTCCTTGGTGGCCGGCTCAGCCTTGGTTTCAGGTGCTGCTTGCTCGGTGTACGAACTCGCAATGTTTTCCACGGCTCCGCCTATTTCAGCAGATCAGCCTGGTCAGGTACCTGGCTGGTTCAGTTTTCTCCTCCGCTCTTCACATCTGGTCTTTCTGACGCTGGTTTATCACCACTTGTATGGTGATCAGGTGGCTTTATTGATGGTGTCCCACCTGTGAGCTTTGTCTTGGCGACAGTATAAAATTTCCTTGTGCTCTTTCCCCCATTTTCTATCTTTTCGTAGGTTGATAAAATATTTTAGGATAGGGGTTGTCTTGTCCTTTCCTTTTTGTTTTTTTCAGGACTGTCATTTGATGCCTAATACTGTCGCCTAGTATCATGCGGCGCTGGCGAAGCCGCTTCAGCTTGCATTCACGGTGGATGTTACTTCCGCTCCGTTCCATAAGCTTTCTCATGCTTTGTTTCACCTCTGGTCTGCTCATGCACCACCTGACCTGTTCTGGTAATTAGACAGGGTGCTCTCCTTTTTCTCTTCTCCTCGGTTTGTGGTGGCCCCTCCGGTAAAAGATTGTTTTTCCAAGGCTCTTTTTTTTTTTCCTGTTGGCATTGGCTTCTGGGGGTTGGGTCAGGGAGCTTCATGCTCTCCTCCAGCACAGAGGTTTCTGCTCTTTCGGTCCTGATGGTAGGTTTGTTCGTTTGCAGCCGTCTCCTTTTCTGATGAAAAATGAGTTGGTGGTTTTCCGAAGGGGTCCTTGGGTCATTGATGCTTGGTTGGTTAGGCCGGGAGTGCATCATGTGTTGTGTCCGGTTGTGGCTCTGCATCATTACCTGTGTGCCACGGCCTCTGTAGCTGGAAATGCGTTTTGGGTTGACCCGGTTTCCCTTGTTCTTTGTTCCAGGGTTCGGGTCTTCCAGGTCGTCCATGGGGTTATTCGGTCCAGCCAACCTGTGGTGTATCCTTGTGCCTGTGGTCTATCCGAACTTCATAATCATAGATAGGTCTATCTATCTATGCCCATGAAGTTCGTAAGTTTGCTGCTTTGGCTGCCGTCTCTGGTAACATGCCTTGGGTTGACATGGCACAGGGATTTTGGAGGTTAAACAGGGTCCTGGCCACACGTTACTTAGTCAACATTCCTGGCCCTATTCGGGTGTGTGTTGCTTTGGGTCGCAGGCAGTTGTCTCAACTTCGAGTTGAGCCACAAGTGGCGGCTACCTCCTGGGTAAGTCCCTCTTGTCACTTTTCTTTGTTTAGGTAGCTCTGGGGAGTCATAGGGGCTCCCCACAGAATGGGAGCAGCTCTGGGTGAGCCCCGAATCTCCCCAGTACCCTTTGGTCGGCAGTTTTTGCACTCGTTTTGATGCTCGGCTTCAGAATTTAATGCTGTAGTGGATGATCGGTGCAACAGCGTTTGTGACGTTTGCTTGTATTAGTTTGGAAGTTCTACCTCCATGATTCGGCTTTAGGTAGCAATTTTTACCAAGTGGGGTTTGTTTTGTTACGCCTACCTTTCTGGGTGTCAAACCCCGGATTCCAGACATGGAATGCTTCCAAACACATGGGGGTTTCCATAGGCTACTGCTCCTCGTGCTTCTCTGAGGTGGCCAGGTTCTGGCTCGTGGTCCCCAGTAGGCAAGAACTCCATCGACTGATGCCAAGGTCTAATACTGTATATACATATCAGCTCGGTAAGCTCCGGGGAGCCTCTGGGGCTCGTCTAGAAAATGGCGTTTCATCACATTCAATGCTGGTTTTTTGAGATTTTTTTTTTACCAAAAAAAAAAAACAAATATTTTAAAACCAGTATTTAAAACCAAATTCTATGATTTGTTATCATTTTGAGTTGACAAGGTTTTTATTTCATTCGGATACTGTATATCCCTGCTTCATTTTGAAAATGAGTTATGAGGATGAGGACATGAGAAATAAGCTAGATGTGGTTACATGTTCATTTAGTAGTTGTCTATTATATTATACTGTAGGTGGAAATTAAAATTTTAATAAGTGAAATTAGCCCATAGGGCATGGGAAATACATCCTGGAGGCACCTCCAGGTGCAATGAATCCCTCACTGAAACAAATTGGGATTGGTCTCATATAGTTCATTGAATTGAGGTTGTACTGTACTGTAATTTTATCTTGTTTACCAAAATGATAACCAAGTGATTCATTATGCCATGCAGGTGCAAAGTTAGGGTTAGTCTCGGATGTACTGTATTTGTTTGTGGAAAACAACCTTGTGTGCTTTTCGGTAATGTAAACGATGATGAATTTACTCTAATATCTTTATTCTCTTCCATTTCAGGGAATTTCAGAAGTTGAAGAGAAGAGCTTCTGCCCCAAGCATAACTCCACTTACATCGCCTAAAAAACAAACCAATCGTATGCAAGCTGAAGGGAACACAGATAATGCTGACAAGTCAAGCCCAATTAGTGTTGATAAGGATGGTCGAGAATCGCCTGAGGGAACTTCAGATAATGAAGAAGCATCAGGGGGTGGTGGATTTGTTATGGTAACACCTTCAGCAGTGCCACTTAGGACTCAAACCATAGGGTCTTCAGCAAATGTTGAATTTAAAAATGGTGTTGAAAACAGTGAGGAAATTACTGATGAAGGTGCTGGTGCTCATGCACAGATAAATGAATTGATAAATGATGTAAGTGGATTTGAAATGCCTTCAGAATCTATTGAAGATCTGATACAAGCCAACCATGGAGGTACACATTGTGATTTAAATATACAGCTTTCAGAATCTTTGGATCAAAGAGTTAGTGTGACTGAGGAAGAGGTGTTGATAAAGGGAGAAATAAATGTATACGAGTCCTCCACAATACCAGATGACGATGGAGATGTGGAAAGCGTTGATGATTCCTCTGTTAGACATCATCACCAGCCTCAGTCAAGAGATACTATTCCTGTAAATGAAAGCACAGGAAACGTAAGTTCAACAGAGAAATATCTAGAACAACTAAAGACCGAGGCCAAAACATTGCTGAGGGCGTCTTCAAAGAGGTAACCATAATAATTTTGTTCTGCAGTGTTGAGAATTACTGTGTGGTTAAAGACATCCAGAATCTTTTAATTCATTGAGTGTTTAAATTATTGTAAATATGATTTAATTTGCTAGTGGTCAGTCTACCACTCAGTTTATAAAAGTGAATTTTCTTATATTTCTCCGGCAGCTTTGTTTCGTTAGTTTAAATCTATGACCTCTTGTTCTTGCTGTTCCAGACCTCGGGAATTCTTCCCTATCAATTTTATTGATTCGTGTTACTATTTTGTATGTAGTGGTCATATTGCCTTTTTTTTTTCTTCTAGATTCTAGTTTTTGGATATTTAATGCCTCTAGCCTCTCCTCGTAGCTCTTGCCCTTCAGTTCCGGGAGCCACTTAGTGGCATGTCTATGCACCTTTTCCAGTTTGTTGATGTGCTTCTTAAGATATACGCACCATACAACCATTACATATTCCAGCTTTGACCTTAACAAAAGTCGTGAACAATTTCTTTAGTATATTGCCATCCATGTATTTATAAGCAATTCAGAAGTTAGAAAGCGTAGCATAGGCTCCTCGCACAACGTTCTTTATGTGGTCCTCATGTGAGTCTTCTATCTAGAACCACCCCTAGATCTCTTTCTTTATTAGAAATCTTTAAAGATTTTCCACATAATTTATAGGTTGTGTGGGGTCTATGTTCTCCTACTCCATATTCTATAACATGGCATTTATTCACATTAAATTCTGCTTGCCAAATGGTGCTCTATATACTTATTTTGTCCAGGTCTTGAAGGGCATGACAATCATCTAAGTTACTTATCCTTCCTGTTATCTTAGCATCATCAGCAAACATGTTCATGTAATTCTGTATTCCATCTAGCAGATCATTTATGTAGACAATAAACATTACCGGTGCAAGAACTAAACCCAGTGGTACTCCGCTTGTGGCATTTCTACAGTCTGATACATTGCCTCTGATTACTGCCCTCATTTTTCTCTCAGAAAATTTTTCATCCATGTTAGAAGCTTACCTGTCACCCCTCCAATATGTTCCAGTTTCCAGAACACCCTCTTATGTGGAACTCTATCAAAAGCTTTTTTTTTTGGTCCAGATAGATGCAGTCAACCCAACCATCTCTTTCCTGTAAAATCTCTGTGGCTCAATCATAGAAACTGAGTAAAAGAACACAGGATCTCCCAGATCGAAAACCATACCGTCTCTCTGATATTATATCGTTTTCTCTAGGTTTTCTACTCATTTGGCTTTAATTATTTTTTCCAATATTTTGACTATTACATTTGTCAGTGATACAGGTCTATAATTAATTAACACTTTCCCTATCTCGTGACACATAATGCGTCACCAATTTTTCTCTCGAGTCCTATCTCGTGACATCATTTGCGTCCAACAAGAAAATATTTGTATAAAATTCAATTTTTATCCAATCGACTTCGGGATAGTTTCAAAATGCGCGCCATTATATTCCTGTTCTCCCCATTAGGCCCACTGGCACCTCGGCATAGACGCTCACGTGGTCGACCTACTCTGTTGTTGACACCACGAGTGACCGCACCGTTCTCCCCTCGCGCGCAAGACTTTTGTAGTTTTTGGCATTTATAACCATTCCCATGTTTTCAACCCATTATATACATTTCTGCACATTTTATTGCAAATAATTTAATGCCAAAATGAACAATGTAGCGCACAAACTTCTGTTAGTAAAAGGGAAATTTCAGTATGGGTTTTTCAGGTGTACCAAGTGTGGCTATGGGTGTACTCTAACGGGTTACGTTAGGGCGACTTTGGGCAATGCTATGGGTGGAGCGTGACCATAATTAGGAATGTATATGCATATGTCCGTGTAGGGGATTTTATTGCGATCACGGTGATACCAAAATGAACGATATAGGACAAGTGTGGAGTTGACAAACCTGAAAAAGAATAGAAACATGTCATCGCTGTTTAGCGCACACGGCTACCGATCGATGTATTTTTTTATTTGGTGCCGGTCTCACGCATGCTTTGCTGACATTTTATACATATGTTCCTCTAAAACATTCTATTGCAAACACATTGATACCAAATTGAAACATGTACATCAAAATTTATGGTCACAACTTTGAAACTTTTTGTTTAATGTTTCACACATTTCCTTATTATTTTCTGTGAATCTGGTTCCCATTTTCAACCTCTGAATATTATCCTTAATCTGTAATTTATTGTTTATGATTTTATAGAAGAAGCCTGGTTCTGTTTTACATTTGTCCACTATCCCTTTTTCAAAATTTCTTTCTGCCTCTCCTCACTGCCGTGTAGTTGTTTCTCGCATCTTTGTATCGCTGGTATGTTTGGGTGTTTGGCCTCTTCCTATATTGATTCCATTTTTGTGTCTTTTGGTCTCTGGCCCTCTTTCCCAATTTCTGTTGAACAAATCTTGTTTCCTAGTTCTGCATCTCTGCTTTGGTATAAATTTTGTTGTGCCTTTATCATATATTTCACAAAACTTTACATACATATCATTTACTTCATGTCCTAACAACAAGTCTAACCAGTCAAATTCCATAAAGAAATGTCTGAGTTTCCCACAAAGTCCTCTCCTGAAATCAGGTTTTTCAACTGCTTCAATCTCATTTTCTTCCAGATTATAATGCATTGTATACTTTATTCCCAAAAAGACATGGTCACTTTTACCCAAGGGAGGGAGGTACTGAATGTCAAATATCTCTTCCTCTTTCCTGGTAAATATGAAATCCAGCATGGAGGGAACATCCCCTTCCCTCATCCTCGTAGCTTGTTTAACATGTTGAAACATGAATGTTTCCAAGATAAAGTTTGCGAATCTACAAGTCCAAAAATCTTTTGCTCTAGCTTTATATGCCTCCCAGTTTATGGATTTTAAGTTGAAGTCACCAACTACCAACAATCGTGATCTATCTTTATCAGCTCTCACTATAATCTCTCTCATTATTGTTATAAGACTCTCATTTATTATCCAGCTCCTCGTTTGACCAGGTGTTGCATAGCAGTGGACTATATGAATTTATGATCATTTGTTTATCATCCTGATTGCAGATCTCTAGTGCTATTATGTCAACTTCTCATGGAATGGCAATCATTATTTCGTTTACCTTTAGGTGTTCTTTCACCAGCACAGCAATGCCACCATCTTAACCTTATTTTTCTGTCCCATCTCCAAACTGAATAGCCCCTTGGGAATATGACCTCATTTAAAATATCATCTTCAAGTTTCGTCTCTGTGAGTGCAACAATGTCTGGTGTCTGCAGCTGTATTACATCACTTAACTCCAGTATCTTTGATCTCACTCCATCTATGTTGGTGTATGCAATTTTCAGGAACATGTTCCTCCTCTCCTTATTCTTCATTACCCCTTTCTCTAGTGATTTTGTTGGTTTGCTTTTTGTACCATTTTACTGGTCTGCCTATCACTTTGTAGAATAATGAATTGATTTCTTCTTCATTCCTGCTCTGATTTAGACATTTTGCCTTGACGAGGTTCAGTTTCACCTTCTCTCTGTCTTCTTGTCAAAGATCTCATCTTAACGACCATACTTTCCCTTCCTCATCACTTTATAATTTTCCAATATTCGTTAGTACTTCTTCCATCTGTTTGGCACTGTTTAGGGTGATCCTCAAAGGTCGATCTGTCCCTTTTATGTACCTGCCAATTCTCCTGTAGTCTCAGACATTCTCTATTTTTTGTAAGACCTTCCACTAGTCCAACAATTTTATCTAATACTTTCTCATCTTCTACAGCTCTTTCTGACCTAGATGTTATCTCCTTTTCTTTGCAACCAAAAATTATCTGGGACTTACTGCAATCGACTGCGTTTTGCACCAATTTAGGATTTGATGCCAATTCCTTTCCGACTTCCAGCCTAATGTTTGTTTTATCCTGGTTGCTGCAGTGTTTGGCTTCCTTTACTGCTTCTTCTATTCTTTAATTCTACTTGGCCACTTGGGTGAAGATGTAATTATGTGTAAAGAATGGCTGTGTATGCTAAGTCAGTGACTCGCCTCCATTCCATATGGGAAAGATATTAGAGATTTATTTATTTATTTATTTTATTTATTTATATACAAGAAGGTACCCTGGGTTTGTGAGAGTACATAACATTGGTGTTCTTTCATTCTTGCAAAGCCACTAACCCACACAGCATTTCAGCCAGGTCCTTTCTGGACCTGGGTGGTTCCATTTAACAGGTACCAAATTTGAAGGTTGTGTATATTAAAAGGTATATTGGAGCAAAAGTCGAGTTCAACATAATAACTACTATGTAAATTGATGGCACATATAAATGCAGAGCACAAGTTGTCCTTGCCAAGTGTTCATTTGTAATTGTTGGTCAAAAATCCAGTTTCTAATGAAAATTATGTAGTCATCATTTATGATACTGTATACTGTACATATTAATATTCCAGACAAAGTTTGAAAATTTATTTTGATTTAATCAGTGATATTTTAAAGTGAAGCCCATCAGTGAATGGTGTCATTAGGAGTGGACAAGTTACCAGGTAATGCTAGTTGGAATCGAATTTCCACTTCAGATTTATAATATAAGAGATAAACAGTACTGTGGAAGTTAAGCCATAATTTAACCTTGACATATTAAGTAAATAATGGATATGTAACATTTTAAAGAAAATGTAAAGACATTCTAAATGTAACACAACCACGGCTGGAATGGTTGTAGTCTGCTAGTAATGACCGTTAAGTACTTTTATGAACTCTGAAGTTGTGTTTTATATTTATATACAAGTTTCAAAGATGTGCAAATGGTTTCAGGTTTAGAAGATAGAACATAAGAACACAGTTTTCTGGGATTAAATTTAGGCAATTCTTGCTTTAAATTAGTATATAGAGGTCACTAATCTTTGTGGTTGTAATGTTTTAGGTGTCCGCCAGAGGCTTTTGAGGAACATGTAGTGCAGGCCAGTCTTGGCCACATAATGCGGAGAAATTCACGGGTACAGACTGAGGTAGCAACACTGGGTCAAGGTGGCCAAGAACTCTTAGATGTAGTTGCAACCTCGATACACAACATAGCTCCTAATGTCATTCTAGCGAAACGTGAGGTAAGCCAGCTCTGTTTAATTTTTCCTAGAAAGATGCCATTTCCATTAGCAAAACTATTTCATACACTTGCCTCCCTCCATCCCTCTCATTGAAGCATTACTTTTCCCTGTTTGGTTGGAATTTTGCAAACTTGGCTGAGACCCATTTAAACAGCTGCGCATATATATATATATATATATATATATATATATATATATATATATATATATATATATATATATATATATATATATATATATATATATATATATATTGGTGTATACTGGCAGCAGGTTTTCTTTCAAACATGTTTCATTGAATATGACCGCATATTCTGTATTTATTATTTTCTGGTTTAGGGCTTCTATCCCTCTAACTATTTTCTTAGCATCAGGGCTTAATTGAAATAGGAGTTCTCCAAAACTCATTTTCGTACTTTTAAGGTGAAGAAAAGAAGTGATTTACTATAGAGTGTTTTACACTTATTTGTATAATTTGCACGACGTTTCGAACCTCCATGGTTCATTCTCAAGTGAACAGATCTTACAATACTAGTTGATTTTATACCCGCATTAGGTCAGGTGATAATACAATGAAGGTGAAAACATGGGGGGATACATAAGGGATAAACATAGGGGCTGCAGAAGGCTTATTGGCCCATACGAGGCATCTCCTATCTAAACACAAAGATTAATCCAGTGTAATTGGCCTGTTATGTTGGACATTGTCTTCTGTGTTGGCATCGATATGTTCTTGTCTTGTCCTTACTCTCATGGTGGGTAGAGTAAATAGTTCCGTGATTTGGGTGTTCATGGTAGGTCGCTCTATTCTTATGTGAATTGCCTCAAGAATTTGTAATCTTCTTGAATCTTGGGTTTTGTCTATTATGCAAGTATTCTTGTTCAACATTTCTCTTGTTAGAGTAATGTCATGGGCTTGTCTCATGTGATTCCTAGGGGCACCAGATTGAAGATGGCATGTCAAACGCCTCGTCAGCTTGGTCGACGTCATACCTATGTACTTACATTGAAGGTTACATCCTTCGTGGGGGCAAGTGTACATGTATACAACGCTTGACTGCTGTAGAGGGTTCTCCGTCGGCTTCGGGCTGTTTTTGATAAGGAGTTCGGAAGTCTTCTATGGTCTTTGGTTCACCAAGAAGACTGATAATATTTCCGAAGACTCCTTATCAAAAACAGCCCGAAGCCGACGGAGAACCCTCTACAGCAGTCAAGCGTTGTATACATGTACACTTGCCCCCACGAAGGATGTAACCTTCAATGTAAGTACATAGGTATGACGTCGACCAAGCTGACGAGGCGTTTGACATGCCATCTTCAATCTGGTGCCCCTAGGAATCACATGAGACAAGCCCATGACATTACTCTAACAAGAGAAATGTTGAACAAGAATACTTGCATAATAGACAAAACCCAAGATTCAAGAAGATTACAAATTCTTGAGGCAATTCACATAAGAATAGAGCGACCTACCATGAACACCCAAATCACGGAACTATTTACTCTACCCACCATGAGAGTAAGGACAAGACAAGAACATATCGATGCCAACACAGAAGACAATGTCCAACATAACAGGCCAATTACACTGGATTAATCTTTGTGTTTAGATAGGAGATGCCTCGTATGGGCCAATAAGCCTTCTGCAGCCCCTATGTTTATCCCTTATGTATCCCCCCATGTTTTCACCTTCATTGTATTATCACCTGACCTAATGCGGGTATAAAATCAACTAGTATTGTAAGATCTGTTCACTTGAGAATGAACCATGGAGGTTCGAAACGTCGTGCAAATTATACAAATAAGTGTAATACACTCTATAGTAAATCACTTCTTTTCTTCACCTTAAAAGTACGAAAATGAGTTTTGGAGAACTCCTATTTCAATTAAGCCCTGATGCTAAGAAAATAGTTAGAGGGATAGAAGCCCTAAACCAGAAAATAATAAATACAGAATATGCGGTCATATTCAATGAAACATATATATATATATATATATATATATATATATATATATATATATATATATATATATATATATATATATATATATAATATATGTTTCCGGCTCTGCCTGTTCGGTGGTCGCACCCAAGGTCTTCCCGCGGCTCCGCCGCTTCCTCGGCTCGTTCGGTTCTGCCTCGAGTCTCGCCTTCTGTTGGTGGACTGGTGACTTTGTTCCTGGTGTCCCACCTGCGTGCTGCTTCTTAGTGGCAGTGTTTGGGTATTTTGGCGGTCCTTCCTTTATTCTTCTGTCCCTTCTTCGGTGGCGGTGTTTTGTTAGCGTGGTCTTGTCCTTCTCTTATGTGGGTTCAGGCCGTCATTTTGCTGCATACTGTCGCCTCGTTTCGTTCGGTGCTGGCGGAACTGCTTCCGTTTGCGTTCGGTGTTGATGTTACTTCTGCGCCTTTCCGCACGCTGTCTCGAGCGTTGGTTCACCTCCGGCCTGGTCATGCGCTATCTAAGCCATCCTGGTCGTGGGACTGGGTGCTCTCTCTTTTCTTCTCCTAGGTTCTTGTGGTCCCTTTGGTTCCGGTTGGCATTGGCCTCTGGGGGTCAGGTTGGTGAACTTCATGCTCTCCTCCGGCGCTGGGGTTTCTGCTCCTTTGGTCGGGGCGATCGTTTTGTTCCTCTGCGACCTTCTTTTCTGGAGTAGAATGTGACTGCTGCTTTCCGGAGGGGTCCCTGGGTTGTTGATGCCTTGTTGGTTTGGCCGGGGGGTGCATCATGTTTTGTGCCCGGTTGCGGCTCTCCGCCATTTTTGGCGCACCACGGCTTCTGTGTCCGTGGACGCTCTTAGGGTTGATCCGGTTACCTTCTTCCCTGTTCGCAGGTGCGGGTCTCCTTGGTCGTCCGCAGGGTCATTAAGGCTGGCCAGCCTGCGGCCTCTCCCCGTGCCTGTGACGTTCGCAAATTCATCTCTTGCTGCCGTTCCTTGGGACTATGCCTTGGGCGGACATTCGGGTGTGGGGCTTTGGCGGTCACGCTGGGTCCTGGCTGCTCGTTGCCTTGTTCATGTCCTTAGGCCTGGTCGAACCTGTGTCGCTTTGGGTTGGCAGTTGCAGCCGGTTATCTCGCTTCGTGTTGAGGTGTGAGTGGTGGCCGTTTTCCGCATACGTCCCTCAGACCTTCCACTGTCCTCTGTGGGTAGTTAACTCTGGGAAGCCAATGGGGATCCCCTCAGAAAACCAGCGTTGAATGTAATGAAACGCCATTTTCTGGGTGAGACCCAGATGCTCCCCGGCAACCTTCCCTCCCTCCGGTCGGCGGTTTTTCGCGTGTTTTGACATCCAGCCTCAGAACTGATGAGTGGATAACCGGCGTGAGAGGTCTGGGGCTCCCTCTTCCCCCCTCCCAGGCAGGGGGGAGCTGCGCAGCCTGCGGCGTGGTGACGTGTGACATCATACTAGTATGCTTGTTTTCTGTTGGGGAGTTTTATCCACTAGTTCAGCTTTTGGTAGCAATTTTAACCAGAATAGGGGTTTGTTTTGGAACTCTTACCTTTGTGGATGCTTGACCCAGTCGATGGCAGACATAGAATGCTTCCAACCACATGGGGGTTTCTATAGGTCATTGCTCCCCTTGCCTCTCTGAGGGGGGCCAGGTTCAGGCCGTGGTCCCCGGTAGGCCTAAAAACTCCATACACATGACTGATGCCAAAGTCTGACATTAGTACATCAGCCTGGGATAGCTCCGAGGAGCCTCCGGGCCTCACCCAGAAAATGATGTTTCATTGCATTCAACGCTGGTTTTTTGCTTTTTGAACATAAAACTGATTATTATATGTCATGCCATGGGTCCCAAGAAAGTCAGTGGTAAGGTTCAACATATGAAAACCCATGTAAGGATGACCATAGAGCAAAAACAAGAGATCATTTGTAAATATGAAGATGGTGTGTGGGTTGTTGAACTAGCTAGGTAGCATAACAAATCTCAGTCAACGATATCCACCATACTTGCTAAGAAAAAAAACATTGAGTGCTAAAGTGGCAAAAGGCGTATCAATAATCACAAAACATAGAACACAAACACTTGAGGATGTTGAAAAGTTATTAATTTGGATACACAGCAAGGAGTTAGCAGGTGATAGCGTTTCAGAGGCCATCATTTGTGAAAAGGCAAGAAAATTGCATGAAGATCTTATAAAGGAAACCCCTGGAACGAGTGATGCAGAAGCGAAAGAGTTTAAGGCGAGCAGGGGATGGTTTGAGACATTTAGAAAAAGAAGTAGCATTCATAGTGTTGTGAGGCATGGGGAGGGTACCAGCTCAGACAAACCTACGGGTGAAAGATTTATTGGCGAATTTAAAGATTTTGTGCAGTGAAGCATGCCTACCACAACAAGTGTTTAATTGTGATGAGACAGGGCTATTCTGGAAAAGATTGCCGAAGAAAACATACATTACCAAGGAGGAGAAGTCATTGCCCAGACACAAGCCTATGAAAGATCGATTTACTCTTGTGATGTGTGCTAATGCAAGTGGCGACTTGAAAATTAAACCCTTGCTTGTGTATCATTCCGAAAATCCAAGGGTTTTCAAAAAAATATAATGTGCAGAAAAACAAAATGTGTGTGATGTGGAAGGCTAATGCTAAGGCATGCGTGACTAGGCAATTTTTTACCGAGTGGGTGAATGAGGTGGTGTGCCCTGCCATCAAAAAAAATATCTGCAGGAGAGCAGTTTGCCACTCAAGGCCCTGCTTCTCCTTGACAATGCTCCTACCCATCCTCCAGGCTTGGAGGATTCATTGATGGAGGAATTTAGGTTTGTTACAGTAAAGTTCCTTCCTCCCAACACCACTCCTCTACTTCAGCCTATAGACCAGAAAATCATTGCCAATTTTAAGAAACTTTATGAAAGAGCACTTTTTCGGAGATGTGTCGAAGTGACGGATGCCACAAACCTCACCCTCAAAGAGTTCTGGAAAAATCATTTTAACATTTGTAGTGCTTTAAAAGTTGTAGACAAAGCCTGGCAAGAAGTGTCTGTAAGAACCATGATCATCTGGCCGGAGAAAATTGTGGCCTGAATGTGTTGCAGAACGAGACTTTGAGGGGTTTGAGCCTGAATCTGAAGTGCCTCTTGTTGAGGAAATTGTTTCTCTGGGCCGGCAATTGGGCTTGGAGTTGGATACATATTATCGTGTCCTTAAACGAACGTGCGGACGCTGCCGCTAAGGAGAATATCCGCACTTGTCCCATCTCTCGTAAAAGTATTCCCTATTCCGACTTCTACCCAGTTATTCATTCCTCAATCCTTGCCCGTTGGCAGGGTCATTGGTCTTTCCTGTTACTGGTAACAAATTGCAAGCACTTAAGGGTAGTGTGTTCCCTTTGCCTTCCTCTTACCACCATAACTGGTGGTGGGAAACGGCTCTGGAGTGGTTGCGTATTGGCCGTACACGTTTAACTCATGAGCACTTAATGGAGCGCCGCCCTGCTCCTTATTGTCCAAACTGCATTGTCCCTCTTACGGTCATGCATATCCTTGATGAATGTCCGGACTTCCAGGACGTGGTTGTGTCTTGCTTCTCAACCGTCCTTCGCAGTCACTTGTCCCTTGATAGAATTCTTGGTGATTCGGATATCTTCGATATCTTTTACCTTATGCACTTTTGTTCTCGTATTGGCATCCTTAATTATATTAGGCGCCCTATGAATATCCCACACATTTGATGATGCTACATAACCTTCCCGGCTTCGTGCCTTCTATTGATAATTACTTACCTAGAGAGGTGCAATTCCAGCACAAAGACATGAACAGAGCACTGAAAAGAGTCTATGCATCATCAGTTGAGTTGTATATGATGTGTTTTCATTCATAAATGGGGTTTTATAACTGGATTAATGAGCATTTGGCTTTTATTGATGAGGAGAGGCTGCTTTATTAGGTAACCTTCTTTCGAGGGTTCCTTGTGGTTTTGTTATGTTTATTTCTGAACAGGTCCCTCTCAGTTGTTTTCCCTTTACATAATGTGATATGATGAATTAACAAGATATATTTATTGATATATATAATCTTGCTCTATATAACTACTGTTTGTGGCCAACCTGATACATACGTAACTACATTCCATGGCAATTTGAAAGTGAGTAATGATAATTATATATGTTTAATATTTATTATGCATGATAAAGGTATAGTATGGTATTGCATACCCTCTCAGTAACAGGAAGTTCAAAGTCCCACTACCAGTTGGAGAAACGTACATTCGTGCAGCATTTACCATTCCAATCACCGTACTGTACTCTAGTAAGCAGGCCCGGTGGAGACTGAAAGTACCTCCATTGATTACTCTAATGCTACCTTAACATGTCTAGCTTAGATAGTGCTTTTTCTGCAGACATTTACAAAGTCCTTCATATTATCTTTAGTGTACATATAAGAACATTGATGTAATTTTTAAAATTTATAAGTCCTCTTTCTAAGAAAGACCTTGGTCACTCCAAGTGGCTTGTTGGCTTCAATAAGACTATGCTATACACATTAGCCATAATGTTACTGAAGCCAACATACAAGTTATAAATACTTATCCATCACCTAAATAAGACAGAAATGAGAAACAATTACACTTAGTGTGTCAAGCAGAGGCCTGTGCACGAACATCCTTACAAAACAAAAAACAAAACAAAAAAATTCCGAGTCATTATTAGGGATCCTACCAGTACACTGCACTCCTGCCAGCCTCCCATCAGACAATGCCTTGGGAGATAAGCACTAAGAACTTTTAGAACATAAGACAATTTATCTTATGTTCTTAGAATGATAAGATAAGAACTTTTTCAGATTTAGTCTTGTCACCTAATTGAAGGGAGAGGGGGAAGACGACATTTAATCCACCTTGATGGAGATTGCTCACCATGACACTAAAGGGCACAAATGTAAAATTCAGCACCACCTTATGACAAGTAACTTGGAACACAAGGTGTAGATTTTTGTTTATGCTCTTTGGTGTTTATATGCTCTTTGTTGTTATGTGATCGCTGCCACAAGAGCGATCTTTTGTAGCAGATTTCTCTTCCCATTTGTCTCAACTTATTTAGGTGACGGGATCATTTGACAAGTCACTTGTCACCAAGTGGCACAAGGTGACAAGAGCCTGGCTGGAGTGGAGTGGAGTGTTTGTGATTGTGAGCACTCTAATACCTGTACAGTAATGCCCTGGGTAGTGACTGAAGGACCATTCTGAAGGGTACATTTCATAATGCTCATCACCATGTATTTTGTTCTAGGAACTGTTACCACTCCTCATCTGTGGGGTGAGTCTACACAAAGATGGACGAGAGAGAGAGCGCTTACTCCACCTGCTGTTTAACCTTATTAAGCGGCCAGATGAGGAGCAGCGCATCAGCATTCTAACGGGACTTGTTGGTCTGGCTCGTGTTTTGGGAGCCACCAAGCTTGAGGCTGAACTACTGCCGCAGTGTTGGGAACAGTTGACTCACAAGTATATTGAGCGCCGACTGCTTGTAGCTCAATCTACAGCTGCCTTGGCTCCTTACACCCCGCCACCACTAAGAAACTCTCTCTTGCTTTCCATGCTACTTCAACTCCTTGCTCCAGGTGGTGAGAAAGAGACCCGGGTGAGAGATGCAGCACTGACTAGCTTATCCCTCTTAGTCACTTTCCTAGATGACCAAGACAAGTTACCCGTTCTTGTGGACACCTTACTATATTGCCTTGAGAATATTGGGACCACTACTGATACATCACCTCCTGCAGCTCTTGATACATCATTTATGACAGCAAGATCTGCAGCATCACCTAGAGCTACAGACATGCTCCTTGAATCTTTAGCCATGTGGGCTGTTGAAATAAACAGACTAGATCTCATACTTGACCCTTTGTTAACAAAACTTAATCAAATGGCTATGCATTTCAAGCAGCAGCAGCAGCAGGTTAATTTGCAAGCTTCACAAGCATTGGGACAACAGCCAATCGTTCCTGTGATAGAGGCACTTGTAAAGATAATTCCGTTCATACTGGCGACACTTATTAATTCATTACCTGCTGTAGATGGTGACGATAGTACAGTTACTACTTTAATTTCTTTATCAGCTTGTAGTGCCTTGGAGGAATTAGAAGTTATTATTGGAAATAAAGCCACAGCTGAATCTGGCTTAACTAAATTTCACCAGTATGTTTCTAAGGAATGGTTCAAGTCATGGAAAGAACTCGAGTATGTTACTCAAAAGTTCTTTCCAGCCATAATTAAGTCCCTCTGTTTTATTGATGCTTCAGCTGTGTCAATAATTCAAGCATTTATTAAGTTGTTTTCTCAGTTGCCAATTTGTTTTGGATCTTACCTTACAGCATCAAGCATTACTCCAATTTTTATGGAAAATTTGAGCATTGATGACTCGGCACTTGAAGCAGTTCGTCAGGGAAATACTGGCCTCACTGGTTCATTGGTGGTTGTGTATATCGTAGCTTTTTTGGCATCAAATCAAGGATACTCTGAAAAGCCAGGGGAGCTGGAAGGATTTTTGGCAAGACAAATAAGTATTCTTTCCCTGTGCCGTGCACAACCAGACTCACTGTATGTTGCTATCTCAACCTTATTGCAGTCCCAACGTAATCAAGAGTCTGTGCTTGGAGCTTTATGGTCATGTGTAGTTCATAAATCCAGTATGGTGAGAGCATGCAGTGCTGGGTTGTGGGGAGTAGTTGTGAGTAGTGTGGAGGATGGTGCCTTGGGATCACGCGTTGTACCGGCTCTCGTTACTCTCGCCACAGACCCAGATATACATGTCAAGGCCTCGGCAGTTCATCCTCTGGCTACGGTTATTACAACGACAACAAATACTGAGGTATGCTATGATCTTTTACTAGGTGTGGTTTGAATGTGAACAATTCAAAGAGTTTGATAGGTATAAATGAGCAATCAGAGTAGCATATGTCATGTTAGGAACATAGGTAAAACAAGGGATTAAAATATTGATTAGGGAGTGCAAAAGTTAATAAACTGAAAGACTGAGGAGAGCATTCTGAGATGGTTTGGTATGGTGAACAAATAGATGATAGTAGATTGGTGAAGAGAGTATTTACTGAATTTAAGAGCAGAAGAGGAAGGCTGCGTAGGAGGTAAGCGACAATTGTAAGCGAGTGTGTCAGGATGCTGGAGGTGTGTGGATAATACATTGGAAATAAGAGAAAAGGCTGGGTGGAAATGCTTTGTAAGAATGGCGTGACTGTACCGTATTTACTGTATTAAACAATTCTGGAAAAGTAATGTATACCTGAACTTACAAAGTGATGGGGTGCTGCTGTGGATGCTGGGATATGGTAATATTTGTTCATGATGCTGCATGTTGTATTGTGAATGATATAATGACTGCACAAGTATTTTTGTTATTTAATATTTGTAACCTTCTTTTACTATATTACTCTACTTCCTCTGGACTTGTGCCTCCTCACCCCCATAAAAGTGGAAAAAATGGGCTACTGATAATGTGTGTGTATATAATTATTTGAAATGATTTGCATTTTTGAATACGGACATCTCCAGTTAAAAAAAGTTATGATCTAGGAAAATTCTCTGCAATTATTGTCATACAGAAAACCTAAAAAGCACCCGGTAAGAGTACTGTAATTGTGAATACTGTACAGGTAATTATTTATTAGTGATACCCAAACATATTTAAGATATTTATTGAATGGCTACTCTTAGGTATTAGACAAAGTGTGGCTTCAACTGGAGACTTTGTGTGAGGATCCATCTGTGCTGGAGAACTTGGAATTCCAGTTGGCTCTGGCACGCACATGTAGTCTTATGGCACACACTGCACACCCTCGCCTCATACATCAGTGTAAGTATCGTAGCAGCCCTAGGGCTGACAGAATACTTATTTGATATTACAGCCAAGAGAATACCTTACCATTTTTTCGTTATTTTTGTTTTTAGTTCCTATTTCATGTGGAGTTGACAGAATCTTATTTGATATTACAGCCAAGAGATACCTTACCATTTATCGTTTCATGTTTTCTGAGGGTAGTTCTATTTTCAGTGGAGCTGACAGAATACTTATTTGATATTACAGCCAAGAGAATACCTTACCATTTTTTCGTTATTTTTGTTTTCTGAGGGAAGTTCCTATTTTCATGGTACTTCTTGGAGTACCATGCAAGATTTAAACGACCCGTAGCTACACGGGGTTCACATCAGCTTCCTCGGGGCTCTTGTAAACAGACGCCATTTAAAAAAAATCATGGGCAACATTCCCGGGTGTGAGAGCCTCAGTACTGAGTGAGCAACCAAGGCTGGCGCATGCAGCATGAAATCACAGCACTGCTGTTCAGCTTGTGACCATAGCATTGCCTAAAAATGTTAAAAAATATATGTAACTGGTATTATTTAGTGATGATAGTATTATAGAAGACCCCTGACTGTGGTAAAAATGACCAGGAATTTGATAATAGCAGGATTGTTGTGATAAATTTGTGCTGTGCTGTGGGAGGAGTAATGTATTAGGTAGGAGGGCTGTTATGTCGTCTGGCGAATCTGTGTGGCCACTTGTTAGTGTCTGCACATACTATGCCAGCTTAGTAGTTCGCTATGGTGAACACAAATGTAAATATTTATACATAATGTGTATATATAGTGTGATAACAGCAAAAGAAGTGTTAAGAGAAGCCATTTTGGTGAGGGAGGTGACATCATCTGCATGACTTGTCATGCTGTGTAAAGATGGCCACTATGCTCTTTGGGCACTATACCAGTTTACTTGAACAGTTATGGTGAACAAAACATGTTGATACTTATATATAATGTGTATATATAGTGTAATAACAGCAAAACTATTTGTTTATTGTTTTATGAACATAATAATTGAATCACTAATATGATCACAATACTTTTGAGTATAATGATGATTCACACATTTTATTATATAAATATATCACACTACACACTATTGAACAATATTACTGCAAAAAAAAAAATTGAAAAAATCAATCAGAGACATTGAAATAATTAGGTAACATTATCTTTGTGGCAACTCAGGCCTGACAGCTCGGGCAGAGCTGACCGCCTCCGGCGCTTGCTCTGTCAATTCCTCTTTTTCTGTGGAGAGCCCCTTCGGCTTCCCAGAGCTATACCGGGCTGATGTGTATATATTAGACCGTTGCAACAGTCAATCGAAGGAGTTCTAAGCCTACCGGGGACCAGAGCCAGAACCTGGCCCCCTCAAGAGAGGCACAAGGAGCAATGGCCTGAAGACACCCCTGTGTAATTGGAAGCAGTCTTTGTCTGCCATTTACCAGGTCAGGCACCCAGAAAGGTAGGAATTTCAAAATAAACTACTGCTGGTCAAAAATTGCAAACCAAAAGCCGAACTAGCAAACCCCAATCAAAAACAAGGAAATAAACATGACGTCACCACAACCACCGCGCATCTGTCTGCAACCCCACCCCCCCTTTCTGGGAGGGGGATGGGGGTCCCAGACCTCCACGCAGGCAACTTTCCTCAGTTCACAAGCTGTTGTGATGGTGAACGGTTGATCATTCTGGCTTCACTCTTTGCATAGTGCTGCTTTGTTGTGTCGTTGCTCTGTTTTGGTGGTGTGTGAGCCAGAAGTAACACATGAGTACTGGGGCTAGGTACAGAGTACCTAGGCTCTATGCACCTAGGGCTACCTTCCCTAGATGCCCTGTAAGTACTGCCTTTGCGGCCTCAGGGTTATCTTCCATGAGCCGTTCAGGAGCAGCTACCTCTGTGTGGTTCTGTCGCTGCTCGGTGATTGCCCGCCCTTGGGGGTTCAGCTGTGGAGGTTCTTACTCCTGTTTGCCCTTGGGTAGGAGGTAGTTGTTTCGTCGCTGGCTGGGGCGCGAGGTACTGTGCAGCTGTCTGATATGTGCATAGCGACCAGTTCTGTTCACCTGGAGACGTTGTGCTTTTGCAGGGTTTTTCTTTTGTTTTTGTTTTAGTTTTGATTTGCCTGGTGGGGGTCTGCCTGGTGTGGCGGTAGGACCACTTGTAGGATTTTGGTGGCCCTCTGCTAGGTCCCCGTGCCAGCCCATCCAGCCTAAGAACTGCAGGGTTTATCGTCGGCGTGTGGGTCTGGGGTTCCCCCTTCTCCCTCCTGGGGAGGGGGAAGGGTTGCGCAGACAGTGGCGCGGCGACATGATGACGTCATGCTCATTTGCTATTTTTCGTTTGGCAAGTTCTGTCCACTCGTTTGGCTTTTGGTAGTAATAGTTTCACCAGAATGGGGGGTTTGTTTTGGGGCGCCTACCTTTCTAGGTGCCAGATCCGGTCGATGGCAAACATAGAATGCTCCCAACCCCCCCACGCACGAGGTTTCTATAGGACATTGCTCCGTGTGCCCCTCTTGAGGGGGCCAGGTTTTGGCTCATGATCCGAGATAGGCAAGAACTCCTTGCACATTGACTGATGCCAGAAAGTTATACATATCCATTCAGCCTGGATAGCGCCAGGGAGCCTCAGGGACTCGCCCAGAAAATGGTGTTTCATTACATTCAACGCTTTTTTTTTTTTTTCTTTCCTGTTGGTGTTGAAGGCCAAATTGTCCAGAGCAGCTTAGCAGTTAAAGATTAAATTTAAGAGAATAATATTATGGCTTATAATGTAAATATTTAATTACATATCAAAATGAGCTTTTCAAATTATATTTTGTTTAGTGTTAAACATGTTGCTTTAGAGCAGTGACTATGCATTGACAATCACTGCTGAAAGTGATAATATATATAACACATTATGATATTCATTTTTGGCTTAAGTTTACATGTAAACTTGTACATATACTTATTTTTACCTAGCAAATTTAATGGAACCTACTTATGTTTACTAATAGACATTTTCCAAACAGTTTTGCTGCCGCAGTTGTGTCGACTGGCAATGGATGGGAGGCATAGCGAGGACGACACAGCACTACTGGGCGCGGGGCTGCTAGAAGCATATTCGGCTCTCACTTGCTGTCATTTGCCAGATCATGTAGTAGCACACTTTGTTCTTCCACCACTCACCCAGGTACAGTAATCATCAGCCTTCATTATTCATGAGGTCTTGGTTTAAAATAGATTTTGTGTACATAGTAAGTATTAAGGAGATAATTTTTTACTAGACTTCATAGACTTAATATCCCACTGTGGCAACATACTTTTCAAATGCACCATTCAAGTAGTGGGGCCAGCAAAACAATGGAGAGTCTTTTAATCCACCACCAACCGGCTGCTTTGCTGTAATACAACGGGACATGTATTCTCAACACCCCATCCAAGTGATAATTAGAAACATATAGAACACCAGTTATTGCTTTGCAAACTATCAATGTTGAAATGATACAGCAGCTTCCACCAGGTAGCAACATTGACCCAACTGTCCTAGTTCCTAGCTAGCTTCCCCAACCCTCACCAGGGTTGGGGAAGCTAGCAACTCATATTTATTATCTGGTGTACACTCTATTCACTTGCTAGCTTTGTAGAGCCTAATTTTTAAATACTTTACCTTCACAACTGCAAGCTTCCCCTCACCACTTGCTCTGAACCACCACCTTGGGAAGACACCTTTCTGTTGTAGTTGTGACTAACAGCCTGAGGCCTGCAAGACTTCTCCAGTTCTGTCAGGTCTCTACTCTGACCCAGGGCCAGAGCTTCTCCTCACTTCCTGGGTTTCTCTGGGTTGGGCTTCTTACAATCAGGGCTTCTCCCCACTTCTGCTGATTGTAATTCCTGAGCTTGAGGTGGAAACCACCTCCATTCACTGCTTCAAGACAGAGTACTAGAATGTCGAGAATTATAAATGCACAAGTTACAGTAGTTAAAATGGGGTTCTAAAGCTAGATTTTAGGTTTAGAGATTTTTATCTATGGGGGAATTTATCTGAGAGAGTACACACACAAATGCATGCCACCAGACTATTTCCAGAGCTGAGAGGTATGAATTGTGAGAGAAGAAAAAAGGGAAAAATGATCACCATATGAAATATTCACCTGGAAATTGACAGAAGTCAGTTCTCAGAATATTTGGAATGGGTTGTACATAAGCAAGAGGATACAGGTGGAAACTAAGTACCCAAATGAGTCACAGGAATATTCACAAGATTATTGAAAACAGAGCCTCAATATCCCCTTTAGTGAAAAGGGACAGCTTTAAACCCAAGATAAGGTAATTATCAGAAGAAAGTGGTAAGCCATTATGACTACAGTATGTAGCACTTGGAATGGATAGGAGGATAAGGATTTGTGTGGAAGCATGCACCCATCCATACCTCTTATCCTCTCTTATCATACCTTGTGATGGTTTCGGGGCTTCATCCCCACTGCCCGGTTCTCGCCCAGGCCTCCTCGTTACTGGACTGGTCAACCAGGCTGTTGGACACGGCTGCTCGCAGCCTGACGTATGAATCACAACCTGGTGGTTCGGGTATCTTTTGGAGGTGTTTATCAATTTCTCTCTTGAACACTGTGATGGGGGTCGGCCAGTTATGCCCCTTATGTGTAGTGGAAGCGTGTTGAACAGTCTTGGGCCTCTGATGTTGATAGTTCTCTCTCAGAGTACCTGTTGCACCTCTGCTTTTCAGTGTGGGTATTCTGCACATCTGCCAAGCCTCCTGGTCTCATGTGGTGTTATTTCTGTGTACAGGTTTGGGACCAGTCCCTCTACTATTTTCCATGTGTAAATTATTATGTATCTCCCGGCTGCGCTCAAAAGAATACAGATTTAGGCACTTTAGTCGGTCCCAATAGTTTAGATGTTTTACCGAGTGGATTCTAGCAGTAAAGGATCTCTGCACACTCTCCAGGTTAGCAATTTCTCCAGCTTTGAAAGGGGCTGTCATTGTCCAACAGTATTCCACTCCAGAGAGCACTAGCATCTTGAAGAGTATAATCATTTGTATAGCATCTCTAGTTTTAAAAGTTCTTGTTATCCAACCTGTCATTTTCTTGCAGTCGTGACGGTTACTTTATTGTGTTCTTTAAAGGTAAGGTTTTCCGATATAAGTACACCCAAATCCTTTACATTGCTTTTTCGTTCTGTTATGATTTGACTGCATTTTGTATGTGGTTTCTGTTTTTATTTTTATATTTTTTCCATAGCGCAGGAACTGGAACTTTTCTTAATTAAATACCATACTATTTTCTGTAGCCCATTAAAAGACCTGATTTACATCTGATTGGAGGTTTGCTGTGCTCTCTATGTTGTCTACTCTCGTAAAAATTCTAGTGTCATTTGCAAAGGTTGATACAATACTATAGCTTGTGTCTTTATCTGTGTCCGATATGAGGATGAGAAAAAGTACTAGAACAAGCACAGTACCCTGGGGGACTGATCTCTTCATGGTTGATGGTCTGGATTTTATTTTGTTAACTAATACAGATTAGGTTTTGTTAGTCAGGAAATTGTAGATCCATCTGCCTATTTTTTGGGTAATTCCTTTTGAACGCATTTTGTGTGCAATTGACACTGGTCACATTTGTCGACAGCTTTTGCGAAATTTGTGTAAATTACATCAGTGTTTTGCTTGTCTTCCATTGCATCTAAGGTCATGTCACAGTGGTCCAGCAACTGTGATAGGCAAGAGCGCCCTGTTCTGAAACCATGTTGTCCAGGGTTATGGAGATGCTGTGATTCCATGTATTTTGTGATCTTACTTCTTAGCACTCTTTCAAAGATTTTTATGATGTGTGATGTTAGTGCTATCGGTCTGTAATTTTTTGCCTCTTTCTGATTTCCTTCTTTATGGAGTGGTGCTATCTCTGCTGTTTTTAGTATGTCAGGGATAACGCCAGTATCTAGGCTTTGCCTCCAAAGAATGTGAAGGGCCTGCGACAGTATTTTTTTACAGTTCTTAATGAATATGGAGTTCCAAGAATCAGGGCCTAATGCAGAGTGCATAGGCATACTGTCTATGGCTTCTTCAAAATCCAGTGGGGATAGGGTGACATCTGATATATGATATGATGTTGGCATCACATCCATGAAAAATTCATTTGGGTTATCAATCTTTAGTGTGTTTAGTGGCTCACTGAAAACAGAGTCATACTGATTCCTCAATATTTATCTAATTTCCTTGTTGTCATCTGTGAAAGTTCCATCCCCCTTTTGCAGGGGCCCAATACTAGATGAAGTTTTTTATCTTGATTTTGCATAGGAGAAAAAATATTTTGGATTTCTATTTCACTGATGGCCTTTTGCTCTCTCAGCCTCTCCTGACTTTTGTATGATTCTTTTAGCTTTAGTTCAATTGTTTCCATTTCTCTACCTAACCTTCTTCATTGTTCTTGAGTTAGGGTGTCACTCTCAAGTTGTTTCACAAATCATTTTCTTCGCCTATAGCATGGTGGAATTATTAGGGAGCAAAGGAAGATGGAAGCAATTTGTGATAGGTGATAAATGTTTCGCATGTGTGTGTATGGCAGATCACAATAATGCTTAATCTTATGAGTGCTGGGGTGTGCTGCTGAGAATGGGTGTTTGGTCCTGGTTCTTTGTCATGCTTTGTAGTAAAATATGGTAAATTGATTGACTAAGTTATTAACTTAGCCTCTTTCTATATGATATTGCTCTCCCATCATCTCTTGGCTGATACTCTCTAACCAGTGTCAATGACATGCAGTGGTTACCATTTATATAATGTCTAAATTGTTTATTGGCTTGACAATATCATTTAATGTATACTATAAAGGACTGAGTTTTATCATTCAAATTATTGTTTCAGCTTCAAAAAACATTAGGATCATCAACATTTGAACACATGGAAACCATTACTGACCTGATTCGGGAATACAACATGCACACCCAAGCATCCCAGGGATTGGAAAGGTATGTCACTTGTACTCTGTGTATGTGTGTGTAATTACATAAGTGTATTTACAGGATAAGAGCTATGCTCGTGGTGTCACATCTTCCCAGCACTCTTTGTCATATAACACCATGTAATTATTGTTTGTTTCTGGGGGGAGCCCCTTTGGCTCACTGGAGCTATCCAGGCTGATATGTATATCATTAGACTTTGGCATCAGTCAGTGTGAATGGAGTTCTAGGCCTACCGGGGACCACGAACCAGAACCTGGCCCCCTCAGAGAGGCACGAGGAGCAATGGCCTATAGAAAGAAATTCAGCTCATCCAATTCAGAAATCCAACTCATTCAGTTTGCTCTGCCAACTGAATGAGTTGTTCGGGTGCCTGGAGGCGGATCTCTTCCCGTCGGCGTGGTCTTCCGGACCACGCTGACGCAAAGAGATCCCATCTCTTCCCCAAAGCCCCATCTTCCGGTATATGGGACCCCCTTCCCATGACCGCGAGGCCGTCGGGATCGATGCCTTCTGGCAGGACTGGTCGAGGTGGGGGTTTCTGTACCTCTTTCACCCAGTTCAGCTGTTGCTCCAGGTCCTAGCTTGCTTGGGGACTTACCAAGGGAGAGTAGTGCTCTTGGCCCCATGGTGGCCAGCCCAGCCTTGGTTTCCGGTGCTGTTTGCTTGGTGTCTGAACCCGGAGGTTTTTCTGCGGCTCCGCCTCTTTTAACATATCCGTCTGGTCCGTTACAAGACTAGTTCGCTCTTCTCCTTGCGTCTTCGCATTTGATCTTTTTGACTAGTCTGTCACTATCTGTTTGGTGATCAGGTGGCTTCTTTGATGGTGTCCCACCTGCGGGCTTCTCAGCGGCAGCATGAAGTTTCCTGGTGGTCGGTCCTTCTGTTTCTTTCTGTCTCTTCATGACTGCACTTTGCTTTCTGTTAAGGTTGTTTTGTCCTTTCTCTCGTGGCTGTTTCAGGACCGTCATCTTATGCCGAATACTGTCGCCTCATATCGTGTGGTGTTGGCAGAGCCGCTGCAGCTTGCATTCTGGATTAATGTTTCGCAAGCTGTCTCGTGCATTTTTCACCTCCGGCCTGCTCATGCACCGCCCGAGCCGTCTTGGTCTTTAGACAGAGTGCTCTCGTATCTGTCTTCACCTTGGTTTGTTGTGGCCCCTTCGGTTCAAGATTGTTTTTCCAAAGCTCTTTTCTTGTTGGCACTGGCCTCTGGGGGTCGGGATGGGAAGATTCATGCTCTCCTCTGACGCAAGGGTTTCTACTCTTTTGGTTGTGGTGATAGGTTTGTTCGTTTGTAGCTGTCTCCTTCTTTTCTGGCAAAGAACGAGTGCTGCTTTCCGGAGGGGTCCTTGGGTTGTTGATGCTTGATTGGTCAGACCGGGGGTGCATCATGTGTTGTATCCGGTTGTGGCTCTCCATCATTATTTGCGCGCCACGGCCTCTGTGGCTGGGGACGCACTTTGGGTTGATCCGGTTTCCCTTCTTCCCTGTTCTCTGGTTCGGGTCTCTCAGGTCGTCCTCAGGGTTATTAGGTCCAGCAAGCCTGCGATCTATCCCCATTCCCATGACATTCGTAAGTTTGCTGCGCTTGCTGTCATCTTCAGTAACATGTTTTGGGCTGACATTCAGGCACAGGGTTTTTGGCGGTCAAACAGGGACCTGGCTGCATGCTACCTCATGAATGTTCCTGGGCCTAGTCAGGCCTGTGTCGCTTTGGGTTGGTGGTTGCAGCCTGTTGTTTCGACTTCGAGTTGAGAAGCGAGCACCGACCGCCTCCCAGGTAAATCCCTCTAGTTTTCATCTTTGGTGAAGTAGCTCCGGGAAGCTGAAGGGGCTCCTCTCCAGAAAAGCAGCGTTGAATGTAATGAAACATCATTTTCTGGGTGAGACCCAGAGGCTCTCCGGCAACCCTCCCTCCCTCACATGTTTTTTCACATGTTTTTGACATCCAGCTTCAGAACTGCATGGTGGATTGCCGGCACTGTGGGTCTGAGGCTCCCCCTTCCCCCTCCCGGGGAGGGGGGAGCTGCGCAGACATGCGGCACGGCTCGTGTAACGTCATGCTTGTTTGCTCATTTTCATTTGGGAAATTCTGTCCACTCATTTGACTATTTTAGTTGTTTTAACCAGAATAGGGGTTTGTTTGGAGGCGCTTAAATTTCTGGGCGCCTGTCCCAGTCAATGGCAGATATAGAATGCTCCAAATCCCATGTGCATTTCTAGAGGCCATTGCTCCTCATACCTCTCTGAGGAGGCCAGGTTCTGGCTGTGGTCCCTGGTAAGCTTTAGAACTCCACCCCACGCTGACTGATGCCAAGAGTTAGGTATATTCATATCAGCCTGGAAAGCTCCGGGAGACCTCCGGGAACTCACGCAGAAAATATCCTTTCTTTACATTCAATGCTGGCCTTTTTTTTTTAATTCATGATTGTTTATTTAATTTGAAGAATTAATTCCAAGGTAAAGATCTATACAAAGATTAATATATAAATTATTCCTGTAATTGGTTGAAATCGTTAAATGTTCGGTTTATGTGCATATTGAATTTCCTTTTTTAATTAGAAATTTTTTTATAGGCGCAAATCCAACTTGTCACTTAGTGGCGCATTGCCCGTTCATCCTGGAGTTGATGACATGAAGAACAAGATGAGTAAGATGTTTGCATCCCGTCCGTCTGCTAATGTCCTGCAAGCCAAAGCTCAAGCTATGAATGTCAGTCTGCCAGGATTCTTAAAGAAAAAATAAGAATAAGTTGATTTATGAACAACTTTTCCTAAAATAATTTTTCTATCAAAACTGGTAATCTTTTTTGGTTGTGGTAGATATATGCAAGTTACAGTGATGGTGGTGGATGCTCAAACATTATTCATTTATATATACACTACTGATTATATATATATATATATATATAGTGTGTGTGTGTGTGTACTCACCTAGTTGTGTTTGCGGGGGTTGAGCTCTGGCTCTTTGGTCCCGCCTCTCAACCGTCAATCAACAGGTGTGTGTGTGTGTGTGTGTTATATATAAACATAATAATAATAATTTGCAGAAAGTGTTCTCTCTGAAGTGGGGAAATACTTTTTTCTCAGTTTCAGTGAAATTGTAGAGATTATATTAAATAACAAAAATTACTGTCTTACACTCTTCAACAAGGTCTGTTTTTATATAGGTTTACAAATACTATGTATTTTGTGTGTGTGTGTGTGAGATAGAGAAACTGAATACGAACAAATTTATTACTGTACTGTATATCATTTTATATACACAGTAACAGGAATGATTGTACTGTATTTGTATACAGTAGTGGTAACAAGCTCGGATATGTTGGTGACGAGCACGGGAAGCTTGATATGATGGAGTTGTCTGGCAGCTTCATTGGTATATAGATGCTAAGTGGAGTTTAAGCAGAACATAAATCTTTAATATAATGGCTGTGGGTAAATGACCTCCATGCCCAGTGTACCAGATGGCAGCCCACATCACCTGGAGGTCTGGCCGGTCTGTGCTATCTCTATACGATGCACTGATTTCTGCAGGAACCTGTTCTGCTATTATTTGGGTAAGTGGTGTTTGCATTCCTTGGAACATTTGTCATGCAGAGGACCATGCATTGGGTATTGTTAATATGTCTGCTTCTTCTTCCATTAATTCATTGAGTTAAGAATTTGAGGGCTGACATTGCAGTTTACATGGGTGACCACAGCAGAAATTTCTCCTGGAGGCTTCAACACCATACAAACCTTTCACTCTTTCAAGCTCTCTTACCCCTTCCTCCAACTTGTCTTTTGTATATTGTTCTGCTTCCTTTCCAAGCTTCTGATTGTATCTTTACTACTTTTTTGTACACTCTGGGAGTATACAAAGGAGAAATACTCTTCACTGTAAGCAATTCTCAGATATGTTACTAACATACCCATATCTCTTCAATATGTTGCACTTCACCTACTTCACATTTCATTCAGTTGCCCCTCTCACACATGCCATCGCTCTTATTTACTTCCACATTGTTATACCCATCCCATATACTTAACTGAGCTGCTTTTTCCAAATGCAAAATATTTTCGTGAGTTTTCAATACTAATATTTACTCTTATTGTCACATAAACAAGCATGAATAAAGGAGGCTAGTTGGTTGGCTGTCAAACCTATCCGTTAATTAAATGCACAAATTTTTTTACACAATTAACCCCATAAAAATTGGTGTGGTTTAGGGAAATTAAAAACTGCTGCAATAATGACACTTCCTGGGGAGAAATGAATGATGACTTTAATAGGTTAGGTGGATAGCCTAGGTTCTGACACTTTTGATTAGGTTACACCACTGCATTTTTATAGAAGTACAAAAAATGGGCTAGGCTGTTATTGCTGGGCCACTGGCTTACAGACAATACTGTACCCAGTGGGCATAATATCCTAGTGTAACATTAATTCAGTGTTGAGTCAATGTTACTCTTGTATATTGTTCCCACTGGGTACGTGTCTGCCCAGATACATGGCTCCTCCAAGAAGCCAAGATATATGTAATATCTAACATTAGTGTTGAATAACTAGCTATGGCAACCTGATTATTTTTTTACTAATGCCTGTGTCACTGTATAATGACTATGGACTCTGTGCATGTGTGACTGATGACTGTAAATGGTCATTGTGTCACTGTGACTGGTGGCCAGCTGATGACTGATAACTCTCCCATAACTGCGTGATGATTGTATCCACTGATAGTGACCAGTATGTGACAGTTGTGATTACAGGGATTTCTCTCAAGGTAAAGAGAAGAGGAGCAGGTGTGTGGAGACAGGTTAGAGCTCTTTATATTTGAGTAAACCAGCCTGCTACAACAACAAACCATGTTGTAAACATCATGTAATTGGTCAAAATCAAATGTTTTATTTAGCCAAAAGGTAAGGTAATTATCATGGAAAGTGCCAAGCTATTAAGGCATGCACATAGAATGGGATATGATGATGATGAGTTAGGATAGGACAGAGGAAATGAATGGGGCCCAGTCACGTGGATGGTTGGGGATTGAATGTCAGCGTGTAAGAAGCAAGGCTGTCTACTGTCCAGTCAATGTGGCTCTTCTACTTTTGCCAATAAATAGCCTTCTTTATTTTCATTTATAAATATGCATATCACATCAGTTGTGCTGAACAAGTTGATATAATGATTTTATATTTTTTCAGTGGGAATGAATGTTAACCGATCTGGTTTGCTCTACAATGGTATGCTTGTTTGGTGGCAATAACAAATTTAATCTTCAGTCTTTTGGACAAAAGGTAATATTTTAAAGTGTTTTTCAGGGGGGAAGAATGTATCCTATGGGGCCGCAAGTACATTGTTAAAATTGATTTGAAATAAATTCTATTTACTTGCTAATGATATAGAATAAAAAAAGATCCTTGATATTGCAATATAGTTTATTTGCACTTGGAGATAAAACTAAATCTTCAGAAGCATGCTGGTTGTTCTTAAAGTAAAAGACTAAATTTTGGTGATAGGAAGTGTAGGAGCGAGATGAAGTTAGCAGAAGTTTTATACTACAGTGCATTGTAGAACTCATTTGGTAGTCATTAGTGGTGTTATTGGCAAAATAATTTAATTATACTCATAAAGAAAATAGTCTTTAATATTTGTTATTTATTAATAAATAATTCATTTTGTCTGGAACAGGCATGTAGATGCGTATATAAAATATATTTTTAGGGTTGTACGAGGCACCCCCCCCCCCCCCCTCCAAGATCAAACTTCTGACCCTCCCCAGAATGCAACCTTACAATAGGTGCCTAACTCCTGGGTATCTATTTACTGCTAGGTAAACAGATGAATTAGGGGAAAGGTAACATACCCAACCATTTCTGTCCCACCTGGAAATGAAACCCAGCATCCTCAATTAACACTTTTGGTCCCCTGTGGACGTATGCGGCGTCCACGATTAACTCTGTGGATGTGCAAAACAGATGGCCGCGATGTCCAAAATTAAAAAAATTGTTAAAACTCTATTGGTTTTCCGATCATTATTGGACTAGTTTTAAAATGCGTGCCTTTAGATTGCAAACCACTTGATACCAGAATGAACGACATAGCATGAAAATTGAGGTGAGAAAAACTGAACAGAGTATACACATTTTATTGTGGGTGGGCAGATTTGTGCTTGCTCGTGGATAACGCTCGGCAGACTTTCTAGTTTGCTGTGGGTAGCGCGCATGTTTAGTTTTCTTATATACATATATTCCTTTAAAAAATTCTATCACGAACAAATTGATAGCAAAATGAACGATGTAACACAAAAATTGATGGATAACGCTCAGCTGATTTTTGGGTTTGTTGTGGGTGGTGTCACGGGTGTGTCTTATTTTCGTCATCAATTGTGTCATGATTTTGTTGTCATAGTTTGTGTGTCATAGAGATCTGTCAAGAATTTGGTGATGGTTGTGGACCTTTAAATGTTGTCTAGGGGCAATAAATGATTTTACTTGAGCCTAGGGGAAAACCAAGGAGTAAGGAAAACAGCCTAGTACAAGACACAAATTTATACGTACAAGACAAACGATATTACATATATTAAATATTGTTCCTACTACACAAGGTCATTATGAATGAATACAATTCCCTAGCGGGCTCTAAATACCCTAAGGCTCACCGTCCCAAACTTGGAACCGTGCACAGTCACCACAGATATCAACCGATGACACATATATTTACACCTCTAAGAAACCTGGACTCTCTTATAGAACATCTCCAAAATCTTGCAACCTTGATAACAAGTAATGATGGCTTATCTGACTGTATGGCTGGAGAAATTTCTCCCGATAGCAAGGTCTGGTTGTCAACGTATCCGCCTCCCCTCACATCAAGATGGGGTCAACCTCTCTTGCGTCATCGCCCCTTAATACTCTATTCTTTACATTTGCAATCAAACCCTTTATTGACTTTATTTACCATATTCCCCATGCATACTTTTAGATTGAGTCCATTTTTCCCTCACATAGTTAGGCTATTCCAGTTCACATTATTCCTGACAATCTCCAGCTGAGAAGGTACTAATTTGCTGGGCAGAATATTACTGGTAACTCCCGGCCTCCCAGATTTCAGCTGTAGATTTATTCTAATAAACTTTCTCCACTGTCCCCCCCAACATTTTATAATTTGAAACTATCCTCCATTGGAGGTAAGGTTCATAACAGGTGGCATGCCTTTTTTTTTTTTTTTTTTTTTTTTTTTTTTTTTTTTTTTTTTTTTTTTTTTTTTTTTTTTTTTTTTTTTTTTTTTAACCTTATAGCCATATATCCCTTTAGAGAATTCTATTGCAAACATTTTGATACCAAAATGACGATGTAACATGAAAATTGACTTGAGAAAACACATTTTAGTGCGGGTGTTGTGGGTGTAATTACCTAAGTAATTACCTAAGTGTAGTTACAGGATGAGAGCTACGCTCGTGGTGTCCCGTCTTCCCAGCACTCTTTGTCATATAACGCTTTGAAACTACTGACGGTCTTGGCCTCCACCACCTTCTCACTTAACTTGTTCCAACCGTCTACCACTCTATTTGCGAAGGTGAATTTTCTTATATTTCTTCGGCATCTGTGTTTAGCTAGTTTAAATCTATGACCTCTTGTTCTTGAAGTTCCAGGTCTCAGGAAGTCTTCCCTGTCGATTTTATCAATTCCTGTTACTATTTTGTACGTAGTGATCATATCACCTCTTTTTCTTCTGTCTTCTAGTTTTGGCATATTTAATGCTTCTAACCTCTCCTTGTAGCTCTTGCCCTTCAGTTCTGGGAGCCACTTAGTAGCATGTCTTTGCACCTTTTCCAGTTTGTTGATGTGCTTCTTAAGATATGGGCACCACACAACAGCTGCATATTCTAGCTTTGGACTAACAAAAGTCATGAACAATTTCTTTAGTATATCGCCATCCATGTATTTAAATGCAATCCTGAAGTTAGAAAGCATTGCATAGGCTCCTTGCACAATATTCTTTATGTGGTCCTCAGGTGATAGTTTTCTATCTAGAACCACTAGGTTGTGTGGGGTCTATGTTCTCCTATTCCACATTCCATAACATGACATTTATTAACATTAAATTCCATTTGCCAAGTGGTGCTCCATATACTTATTTTGTCCAGGTCTTCTTGAAGGGCATGACAGTCATCTAAATTTCTTATCCTTCCTATTATCTTAGCATCATCAGCAAACATGTTCATATAATTCTGTATACCAACTGGTAGATCATTTATGTAGACAATAAACATCACTGGTGCAAGAACTGAACCCTGTGGTACTCCACTTGTGACATTTCTCCATTCCGATACATTGCCTCTGATTACTGCCCTCATTTTTCTATCAGTCAGAAAATTTATCATCCATGTTAGAAGCTTACCTGTCACCCCTCCAATATTTTCCAGTTTCCAGAACAACCTCTTATGTGGAACTCTGTCGAAAGCCTTTTTTAGGTCCAGATAGATGCAGTCAACCCAACCATCTCTTTCCTGTAATATCTCTGTGGCTCGATCATAGAAACTGAGTAAATTCGATACACAGGATCTTCCAGATCGAAAACCATACTGTCTGTCTGATATTATATCATTTCTCTCCAGGTGTTCTACCCATTTAGTTTTGATTAGTTTTTCCAATACTTTCACTATTACACTTGTCAATGATACAGGTCTATAATTGAGGGGGTCTTCCCTGCTGCCATTTTTGTAGATTGGAACTATGTTAGCCTGTTTCCACACGTCTGCTACGCTTCCTGTACACAGGGATGCCTGAAAGATCAGGTGAATTGGAATGCTGAGCTCAGATGCACATTCTCTCAGAACCCATGGTGAAACTCCATCTGGGCCAGCTGCTTTGTTCTTACTGAGCTCCTTGAGCATATTTTCCACTTCATCTCTAGACACCTCTATCTGCTCTATGTTGTGCTCTGGAATTCTTATTGTGTCTGGTTCTCTGAAGATTTCATTTTGTACAAACACACTTTGGAACTTTTCATTTAATGTTTCACACATTTCCTTTTCATTTTCCGTGAATCTGTTTCCCATTTTCAACCTCTGGATATTATCCTTTACCTGCAATTTGTTGTTTATGAATTTGTAGAATAGGCCCGGTTCTGTTTTACATTTATCCGCTATCCCCTTTTCAAAATTTCTTTCTGCCTCTCTCCTTACTGCCGTATAGTTGTTTCTTGCATCTTTGTATCGCTGGTATGTTTGAGGGTTTGGCCTCTTCCTATACTGATTCCATTTTTGTGTCTTTTGGTCTCTTGCCCTCTCACAATTTCTGTCGAACCAATCCTGTTTTCTGGCCCTGCACCTCTGTTTTGGTATGAATGCTTGTGTGCCTTCCTCGTATATTTTTAAAAATTTGGCATACATTTCATTTACTTCCCTGCCTAGCAACAATTCTGTTCAATTACACTCATTAAAAAAATTTTGAAGTTCCCCATAGCGTCCTCTCCTTAAATCGAGTTTATCATCTGTTTCAATATCCCCCATTTTCTTCTAGATGATATCTTAAAACAGGACGTGATCACTCTTTCCCAAGGAAGGAAGGTACTGGATGTCAAATATCTCTTCTTCTTCTTTCCTGGTGAATACTAGATCCAGTACTGACGGTACATCTCCTTCCCTCATTCTTGTGGCCTGCTTTATGTGTTGATACAGGAATGTCTCCAGAATGAGGTTCACAAATCTGCATGTCCAAAAGTCCTCCGTTCTTGCTTCATAGGCCTCCCAGTCTATTGCTTTAAAGTTGAAGTCCCTCAGTATCAACGGTCGTGATTTATCTTTATCTGCTTGTACAATAATATCTCGCATGACAATTATGAGGCCCTCTCGTTTGTCATCCAGTTCTTCCTTTGTCCATGTGTTGCTTGCTGGTGGGCTGTAGGCATTTAAAATTATCAGCTTATCCTGATTCCAGACCTGCAATGCCATTATGTCAATATCTCGAGGGTTTTCAAATATCAACTCTCTTACCTTCAGGTGTTTTTTCACCAGTACAGCCACTCCTCCTCCCTTCCTAGTTTTCCTGTCACATCTCCAAACTGAATAGCCTCTTGGGAATATGACTTCATTTATTATATTTCCTTCAAGTTTCGTCTCTGATAATGCGACAATATCTGGGACCCTAAGCTGGATTATATCTTGCAACTCCAAAGTTTTTGACGTCACTCCATCTATGATGTGGATGAGTGCTTGCTCACAGGTAATGCTTGACCAATTTTCGGATTTACTGCAGGTGGCACACCAGGTGATTTAACCTTGTATGCATATAAGCCTGTAGGGAATTCTGTTGTGAACAATTTGATTCCAAAATGAACAACATACAATGAAAATTGAGGTGAGAAAACTGAAAAGAGTATACACATTTGTGTGCAGGTGTTGTGGGTGTGCCAATGGGTGCTTGCTCACAGGCACCACTTGGCCATCTTTCGGCTTTGCTGCAGATCGAGCACACCAGGCTTTTGGACCTTATATGCATATACCCCTGTAGGGAATTCTATTGCGAACACATTGATACAAAAATGAACGACGTAATACAAAAATTGAGGCGAGAAACCCAAAAAGAGCATGCACATTTTAGTGCTATTGTGCGCTTATGGGTAATGCTCGGCTGATTTTTGGGTTTGCTGCGGATGGTACGCTGTGCTTTTGGACTTTATATGCATATACCCCTGTAGGAAATTCTATTGCAAACACATTGATACAAAAATGAACAACATAACACGAAAATTGAGGTAAGAAAACTGAAAAGAGTATACACATTTTAGTCTGGCCACACACTGACGTGAAACACTTGGCCCCACTTGAGATAGACTGGGGCGCGTGCGCCAGGGAGTGGCAGTGTTAAGAGTGAAGAATGCAGCTTCTGTGCTATCAAGACTCTAACTGAAGAATTGTTTGTCATTATCGTCTTTTGTTTGTAATGGCATTCGGTTATAAAAATATGGTACTGTACTGCTATAGCATTTGTAGCAGCATCTTCTAGAAAGGAGCAACATCTCTAGAAAGGAGACGAGAGAGATACCAAATAATATACACATGGAAAATACTGGAAGGCCAGGTCCCTAATCTACACAGTAAAATAACAACGTACTGGAGTGAACGATATGGAAGAAAATGCAGAATAGAACCAGTGGAGAGCAGAGGTGCTATAGGCACAATCAGAGAACACTGTATAAACATCAGAGGTCCGCGGTTGCTCAACGTCCTCCTAGCGAGCATAAGAAATATTGCTGGAACAACCGTGGACATCTTCAAGAGAAAACTAGACTGTTTTTTAAAAGAAATTCCAGACCAACAGGGCTGTGGTGGGTATGTGGGCCTGTGGACCGCTCCAAGCAACAGCCTGGTGGATCAAACTCTCACAAGTCAAGTCTGGCCTCGGGCCGGGATTGGGGAGTAGAAGAACTCCCAGGACCTCATCAAACAGGTATCTTAAGATACAGTCTAGTGCTGCTAACCCCTTCCCTAATTACCCAAATTAAGAGGGTGGATGACATTACTGGATGACATCAGTTGGTATCCCTAAAGAAAATAGTTGGTTAACCAGCATCTGGCCACCAGCATCCAAAAAGTCACACAGATGCTGGGAATTCTTTGAATATACTTCTACAATTTTGGCTTTATTCTCGACTTACAGCCTGGGATCGCGAGCTCAATTCCCAGGCTGGACTGACATGATTGAAACATTTCCTTTCACTTGATGCGTCTGTTCGTGTAACAGCAAATAGTATCACGTTGTGGGTTGTAATAATATCATTATGACGTTGTTGTGGTAATAGATTGTCTCTTCCGGACAACCCACCAAACCAAAACTTCTGTAGAGTGCTTACACTTTAATCAGGAGATCACCCTGCACGCTTCTTGCTTTTGGAGAGGGGTTCAGCATATATATTCAGCATACTTTGCTTATAGTGTGTATATTCAGAGGTTTTCTGTCCCTGACAAAATTAATTACTGTATTATCATCATAATATGGAACAATTACTGTAATTCAGAATTATAATGTTCAGTTATCCATGATTGTGCATACTTTAGAAACTTTTAAGAAATATTTTTGAGTCATTAAATGAAAGTGGCTCTATTTTATCTTACACACTGATAGACTCCTTAAAAGGTGCATTAGGTATAATAAAGGAAAGGGGTGAATACCAGTTTCATGAAAATTCCAAGTAATATTCTAGTATCTAGCCAGAATATTTATGTCC